ATTGATCTCGTATTTCGTCTAACTTCGATGAGAAAAAATTAGGGGAGGGGAAATATTTTGGCAATTTATTATTTGGGATGTTATTCTATAAAACGTTCAACGACAATTTTCTCAAAACTGCAAGATATATATCCAAGAAATACTTTTACAAATAAATCGTATCCTTATAACAAACCAGAAAACCTTTCACAAGCGTTTTCATAAAACGAATTGAATTTATTGTGTTAAAATCTAAACACATATCCGTGCGATAGAATGATAGGACACAAGGGACTAGAAAATTATACGCGAAGGTCTACTTAAAATTCTGCTAGGTTAATAGGATTAAAAGATATAATGCCGAGAAAATACAAATGTGTCACTGAATTGATTAAAAAACGTGAACGTAGAAAAAGTTTCCTGTGTAACTTTGTTTGTAGCAACCATTAAACTAAAAAGCTGAGCAACACAAGTAAGGCGCGGCGGTGCGGTCGCTGCGATCGCTGTGATGTATGACGTATGTTGCAAAGCAAAGCACACAAAGCAGTGTTACAATCCTATTTTGAAACTGCCTTTGTGCAGCCAAAAGTTTATGATTGGCTTTCCTTATTAGCAAAATGGGCGTTCGTTGTTGGTGAACGGACCTTTTCTGGCAGTAAAAGGGGCGTGGCCCAAATTTATTTGGTTTGCCACTCCCAAAGGCTAGTGGCCTGCGCCCCCTGCTAGTGATGTTCAGCCTCCCCCATGCTAAAATTAAGAGATATTCTGACAAGGCCAGTATATGTTTGATTGGGCAAATTTTAAACTTGGCAAGGTGAATTTAATGCTTTTGATTTTCCATGAATGAACAATTACTATTAGCCTTTTAGAGACGGTGAATAATTTGAGTGATTTCATATACGCAACAGAGAATCTTTAACAGAAACCCAACTACACATGGTGTGGCCATGGGTGCGAATTTGGCTGTGCCTTCCACTGCACTTTCTTGCAGCGCAATTCTCTAAGCATGTAAACATTTCGTATATCTCAATTTTAGTCGTCTCAACTGCACTTTAATGCCAGCAGTGTTTTTTGGATTTCCAGCATTCTTGCGAGCAAAAGTCTCGCACTGACTTCTATGCCATTCTGCAAAATATCACGCACTTAGCCAGTAGATAATCAAGGCGTTTCTGCGATTGGGTTGTCGAGACCCGATGGTTTCTTGCAATCTATTTCGGCAAAAACAAAGTGCACCGCAGGTGGTGCTTCGTGACTCCTGTTTGTCCCATCGCTTGTGCTTCCAGTTCCCTGCCCCGTCTCTGTTCCAAGCGAACGATTACGCCTTTTTTTCAACGTACACAAACCACGAATTTTCGTTACAGCGACCTTTCGAAATCTCGGTTGGAGGAAGACGTAAATAAATGGGTCGATGAGCATGTTTATATTCCACCATAACTCGAAAACTGGTTGCGCTTGAATGCTTGTTTCTTCAGCGTAAGAATGCAATATCGACATCGCAAGGTCAGGAATAATCGTAAAAAAGACAAAAGCAACTAAAATAACTGTAGTGACAATAAAAAATCGATGGTTATCGTCATTTGTTTCTCTCTGTCGAAATTGAAGATCGCTACGCTTCTTGTGGTAGAACAAAGAACAATATGTAACCACAAATAAAACGACAAAAATTACGTCAAATGCTACCCAAACAAATTGGTCGTAAAATACTCGAATTTTTTTCATATCCAAAAAACAGTAAATTGGCGCAGGAATCAATCCAAATGTCCAGACGACGATAAGAAGATTCCGCATTGTGTTTTTTCCAGAAATCGACCGGTATTTAAAAGGAAAGTTACAAGCAAGAAACCGGTCCAGTGTTAGTAAATAAAACATTGTATACCAGGGATGGTAAATAACTGCCCGGATCATCCAAACTATTAACCCGGCTTTACTATCCAGTGCTGCGTATCCGGATAATTCAACTGATATTTGGCAAATGAAACCAAACGAATTCAAAATGTCAGCAATGCTTAGACTGATAATAATAAGAATTTGGTTGGATCGGCCGACTTTTGCCGCTTTCAGAATGTAAATTCCGCAGATATTGAACACAAACAACAACGATTATACTGAGGATGTTGCATGCTAGTTTCGACGCTGCATCCATTTCGCGAAAATTCTGTTTATATCACCCGATTTTTGCATATGTATCGTTAATTGGATTGACCTTATCAATTGGAAGGGGGTAACGTTGGAAGCGAGAACACGCAGCAGCTGGTGGAACCACATCCACATGTAGAAGAAATAAACAGCATCCTGCCTCGTATGCCTTGTAAATATAACCGCAATGTTTCGACCATAACATTTCGTCCGTTGAAGTTGCTCAGAACCACAGAATAAAAAATACAAAACGAGTTTATGGCGCAAACCTATTGTTTCTTCGTATCTGGCCGCTTGAGGTTTCTGTACGCAAACTTCAAAGGTGCCGATTTTCTGCGTATTTTCTATTCTGTGTCAGAACCCACATCTAAATCCAAGCAGCGGTGGTTTTAAGGGGGTCCAGGGGGCCATGGCCCCAGACCCCGCGTTTATGGTAGCCAAAAGGGGTCCCACACCTAAGAAAAAAGATAGAAATTGTAAAGAACAAGGGCCCCTCACATGTTTTTGGCCCCGGGCACCGCAGTCTCTAAAACCGTCATTGAATCCAAGATGAATTGCTTTACAGTACTGCTGAGGCAGAGTTGGCGGAATGGGCGAAGGGGGCTGAGGGGGCTTAACATGCCCTGAAAAAATGGATGTGGAAAAAGTAATAAAGAACAAGCATGCCAAGAATTTTTGATCACAGAAGCTGTTGAAGAATCTTTATATTAGCTTAATGGAGCCCCACTTCAGATATTGCTCTTTAGCTTTGGGCTAGTGTCTATTGTAGCTCAACTGACACGAATCATTCCTTAAAACTAGAAGAAAGAGACGTAAAAATGATAATTAACTGTACTTTTGATGTTCCAAGTATACAATTTATTGCCAAAGCTTGAGCTGATAGCTATACGAGAACCCGTTGATTAACAGGTAATCATTGTTTATAAAGTCAATTGACGAAAATTTACGATTGGAACATTGCCATTTTCTATTTTGATTTAATTCTTCTTACTGCACTTTATTACGCCCTTTCACCTAGCCAAGGCAATGTTGACTTCCTAAAACTTGCAAATTTGAGAGTATATTTTTGTAAATTCGACATGCTCTAAAGCAATTTGGCGAAAACTGGAAACAAATTTTGTTGGCAGACTGTATTCCTTTATGTTACAAACAAGAGACCATACTGGAAAGTTCGCTTTTTGCTCCGATTCCTACTGGCAGCTTGCCTAAATTCGAGAGCTAAGCCACGCCGCGCTACGCCGAGGCGATTGTCTGATCGTCGAGCCAGGTTTCTCTTCGTCGAGGCAGGTTTCACTTTGTTGAGCCGGTCTTGTATCGTGAAAGCTGTCGTTTTGTTCGACCTTGATTTTGATATTTGTATTTTGTCTGCAAATTTGTACCTTTAAGGCCGGTTTACACGATCATATTCAGGTCACATTCGCATCACATATTTTATGTGATCACAGAATGTGATCGTGTAAACGACCTTACAAGTTGCTTGAAGTTGTACGAAGCAGCAAGAATTAATCCTTTTTAATTGCCTGTTAATTCGCTATCACAGATTTTTCATTTGACCAGCGATCAAATGGAAATGTCTGTGATGCAATTTTTTCAAAGGCGCCGACAAGTCTTTGCTCTCCTGGGTAGATCGGGAACTGTTTCGAGTTCATTTGTATCGACGTATTTGAGAAAAGTGACCTAAGTTTCTAGTAAGATGGGCGACATTGACGTAGAATTCATTCCTGATACGCAATCAGAAGACTACGAAGAGCCAGCATTCTCATTTCAGGCCATTAAATCAGCTACCGGCAAATCGTACCAAAGCAAAGAAAAAATTAAGAAATTCGAATGGAAAGACGAAATTGTAGAGTTGGTAATTGACCTGTGGCAAAATCAGCCATTGTTATTTGATGCCAGTCATCCCAACTACCATGTAAAAGAAAAATGAAGAAACTGCATCAATGCAATCATCGCGTCGTTAGACGATCAATCGGTAACACCACTACCAACTTATGAAGAGGTTCAGCGAAAGCTGAATGCGTTAAGAACGTACTACGTCGCTGAAAAAAACAAAATTGAACAGACGAAAGTAAGCGGAGCTGGAACTGCCGATATCTATAGAAGTAGGTGGCAATTTTTTGACAGGCTTTCCTTTTTGTCCGACAATGTTACGCCAAGAGCCACAATTTCAAATGTTGGAAAGCGACCAAGGTCTGAGCAAAGATACTCGAACAGTATCTTTGGTCTGAGAGTGATGACGAGGGCGGTAAATTTGCGTACAGTATTGGGGCGAAGCCATCTGCGAAAACTGCTAAACAAGCAGATTCCCAAGTAAACCAACTGATTGAAAGAGCCATCAACATTTTGGATAGGCCAAAAGAAACCCCCAAACAACAGGAGGCGGCAAAGTCTGCTGACAGAGTGTTCGCAGAAATGTTAGGTGGTATGCTGGAAACAATACAAGATGGGCAAGCTAAGGATTCTTTGAAAATGGAGCTGCAACGGCTTATTTACGAGACGAAGTATATGAGCCAAAACAGAGGCATGCAGCCAAGCTACTACAGAAACTCCGGGGTCCAGCCAGGGTCGGCATTCCATGGCATGTTAGGCCAAGAACCAAATCAGCCCACTTTTCACTGTCCATCACCCCTTATTTCAACCGGGTCATACAACAGTTCCAGCAGAAGCGGCGCTGAAGACGAACGATTCAAGGAACTTTGAGTGTGATTTAAAACATTAGTATCAAATTGCAAAATTAACTGAAGATGAAACTTAAAACTAATATCCTTCTGTTGCTAAATATTTTTTTGCAATAATTAACTTTTATAAATAAGGTAAAGCAGTTCCATAAAAGTACTGATGAAATGTTTCTATCAAAATTTATTGTTCCTTGTTAATATTATCTTTTACTTTTTTGCCATGATGTGATTCCATTGCCAAGGCACTTGCCCAGGTCCATAAAAATGATCAGCAAAAATATCACGCAATTCTGCAGCTGCCTTTGCATTATTGTTTCCATGTCTTCTTGGCGGAAGTGGTTGCATGTTTCTATCCGAATTCTCAGCTCTCCATTGCCCATCGACTACCATATCGCCTTGAATTTCATCAGCAAATCCCTTTGGTTTGTATGAATCAGATGATTTTGTTCTCAGCATATTGTGAAGGACCAGTGATGCTAATATGACGGAAGTAGCTCTATCCGGGTGCATATTTATTTTCGTGGAGAATATTCGAAAAACGCTTGTTAGTATTCCAAATGCATTCTCTGTAACAAGACGGAATCTTGAAAGCCGGTAGTTGAATACCCTCTTCCTATCTGTTAAACCATTTTCCGGGTAAGGCTTCATGCAGATATTACTCAAAGGGAATGCATTGTCAGCGACAAACACAAAAGGCACTTCTTCATTACTTTCAAATGGGGTCCAAGACGAATCCTTGGATTTTGGAAGTGGCCTAGAGGGCGGTAGATTTAAAGCGTTTTGTGAAATCAAGGAAAACAGAGATGAATTCCTATACACACCACCATCGCTAATCCTTCCTTGGCACCCAACATCAGCAAAAATGAATCGGTAATTATAATCTACGAAGGCAAGCAGTACGATGCTATAAAACCCTTTATAGTTACAAAATGTTGCCCCCGAACAGTGTGGGTGATAGATGGAAATGTGTTTTCCATCTGCAGCAGCAAAAGAGTTCGGAAACTGCCACCTTTCTTCAGCACCTTTTGCTAAGTCAAGCCACTCCTCCTGTGATGCGGGGAAATTGAAATATTCCCCTTTTAGTGTCTTGTATATAGCCTCGCAAACACAAGGTACAAATTTGCAGATTGTAGGCTTGTGGATGCGGAACTGGTACTGCAGACTTTCGAAACTCTCTCCAGTTGCTAAGAAGCGTAGTGTTACTGCAAGCTTTTCGTCTGCCTTGATGGGCATTCTCATGATCGTTGTATTCTTCTCGATGAATGGCTTCACTTTACTCAGAAGTTCCTGAAAACAAACAGTTTATTTTGTAATTTCTTTAACGTCATTGCATATAAAATTAGCTCATGCTCTTTTAAAATATTTCGTTTATATGAACGGAAGCAGACCAACCTCGAATGTCTCTGTGTTCATCCTTAGAAATCTCCTGTAGTCGCCCCTATCTGCTAGCCTCAGTTCGCAAACCAGGCCATTATATATGCCCCTTTCGTCGTGCCTGCGTAGCCAGGGCTTTGTCCAACAACCCCTTTTCCGTCTTTTTTTGATTTTTGTTTTCATCACTGCGCAGGCTAATAAAATAGCTGCTACAGCTCTTTTATCTTCCTCGCTCTCGACTTCCATTGACAACAAATGAAACGTAAAAATTGAATGAAGGCATATCACTGATAAAATGCGCGCCAAACAGTTTCCGATCTACCAAGGACAGCAAAGACTTGTCGGTGCCTTTGAAAAAATTGCATCACAGACATTTCCATTTGATCGCTGGTCAAATGAAAAATCTGTGATAGCGAATTAACAGGCAATTAAAAAGGATTAATTCTTGCTGCTTCGTACAACTTCAAGCAACTTGTAAGGTCGTTTACACGATCACATTCTGTGATCACATAAAATATGTGATGCGAATGTGTCCTGAATATGATCGTGTAAACCGGCCAACTTTCTAGGAGTCGGGTTGGGGGCGGGTTCGTAGAGTGACAAAAAAGCAGTTTGCCTCATATAAAATCTGCAATGAAATTGTGCGGTTTTTTTAAAAGTACTTTTATTTGATGCCTACTACAGAACGTGAACGTGCTTCAACAAACATGCAGTGTATAGATAGGTATTATGCCATGCCAACAAATTTTCGATTGAATTTTTAGGACTTTACGCCACGCCAATTCAGGTACGCCAAATCTTTGCCAAAGAAATACGCCAAATTTTGGCATAAGTACCGTCAGGGGCGGATCCAGACATTCGCAACATTCGCACTGGCGAATGTCAGATTTCCACATGTCTTTTTGTAATTGTCTGTTAATACATTTTAGCATTGTGAATATTGTACTAGAAATGGCCAGATAATAAAAAAAAGGTCCACAGAATACAAGAAATAAAAGTTTTGTTTCCTGCCCTAGTTGCTATGATGTCACCTTGTTGTTTACTTTTTAGGTTTTATTCCCTCGTTTTCGTGATTTAGAGATGATATATTCGAAAGAGGGCTCCCCCTTTTACGCATAAATTCACAGAGCACCAATAAGGTTTGATGCGAATGTCGAATGGAATTATAATATATTAGGCATGCGTGCGCAAATGAAGTAGTACTGAAAAATGTATGCCAAAAATTTGTGCGAATGTCAGTCAAGCTATGTTATTTAGCCATCTGAAAACCAATAGGAAATGTATATGGGAAATTTTTTTGCGAATGTGGCGAAGGTAGATGCGAACTATGTTCGGTAGCCAGTCGAGGGAGAGAACCTTGGAAAGTGAGCAGATTGAAACCTCGTTTCCACATCAACGGCCATGAGTGTAGTGTTGTTGGAAAGCTGTGAAGATATTTGCTTGCAGAAGAGCAGCAATTGTACTTCAGAGTGAGTGAAAGGAGTCAAATATAAGATGATTTTTAATTTGAATCAGCGGATTTCTTATGAAGATGTTCAAAGTTTGTCGAAGATTTTGGTTGATGGATGGAATTTGATAGATGGCAATATGCGAGGACAGTTCAGTTGGACCTAAAATTGTTGAACCAAAATTTTGCCTATGTTTTCATTTTCATGATGGAGGACGTTATTTAGACAGAGATTCAGACTCAAATAATATTTTGAAAAATACGTGTTGCATTTTAAGGTAAAAAGCCATTTTTATGCAGGCTTTCAATCAGAACTTTTGGGGTTCAAGTCAGGTACATCTTGATAATGATGATGTAGCATTCTGACGAATGATGCTGTTCTATAAATATCTTGATGAATTTGAATATGCTGAATTTTAGATTCTAGATATTTTTTATTGATAGATGTTGTTATTATCACAAACCTGTGAATAGTTTGACTGTGCTGGGGATTTGTTTTTGAATAAGATATTGCATTTTCTACGGCGTATTCTTTTCTTGTTAATTTTATGCTGTCAGTTTTGGAAAAATCTTGACTGCCATATTTGTAAATGAGAAATTGTAATAGTATTTTGATTTTATTTGTCTGGTCATGCCATAAATATGGTAACCCTTTTCACGAGTTTAACCTCTAAAACTAGTAAAATTATTTGTGGTTTCCACACTATAAGAGTATACCATTTGAAACTTTTGGTTCTGAAATACCCTTTAAGATTCATTAATTTTTGTTTATGAATTTGCAAGTGACTGACAGTTTTTTTTTCTATGTAATTGTGTGTGTATATAAATGTAAATATGGGTAGTAAATAAGTGCAATCAATGGAATGATCCTAATGGGGGAATTACTACATTATTAATAAGAAATTCACAGCAAGTTGGTTCTGCCAAGTAAATATCTCATATAAATCCATATAGTAAAAGTTACCATGTTTGCCTTATTTCTTTGCCATTACTGACTTTGTTTGATGTACATTTAAAATTTGTATATAATATATATTTATGATGTTCTTGTTATGGAAAGACAATGAATTGTTTTAAATTCTGTTACATTTGCTGTTTTACCAACACCTGAAAATACTAAAATTGTATGATGTGTATTGACCTAACTGGTATTTTTGGCCATGTTTAAGGCACATCACACAGCAGTTTAGATAGAAAGGTGAATGCACAAAATAAATAACAGAAAAGCTCTGAGCCCCTAAAGTATTTGGTGTTGAAGTCAAACATTTGGGTGGATATTGCATTGAAAATTTCTACACTAAACACAGTATTTGATTGTTAAATAATATCATTGTATAAATAGAACTAAGATTCCTTTCTTTAAATGGCTGTTTTTTAAGTGAGTGACATAAAATGTTTTTCATGAGTTTTTCTCCCTGAAAAGGGGTGATACACACATCTAATATACCCTTATTTTAGCTCATCCTCTTTGTTCTTGACAATTTGTGGTTCTGTGCCTAGACTTGCCATTAAATCATTATTAAGCGGACATTTCAAATCTTTGCTGCTGTTTTTCCATCACAAAAGCCATGTAGGAAACAAAACATGCCAACACAACAAAAACTTGATGAGTGTTTCTCAAAATTTTTCCAAAGATCTCAATAACTTGTTCACTCAATAAGTAAAATGCCAAATTGTCAATGAAATCCAGACCTGGCTGTTATTCTTAATATTTATCCTTAAATTTCTCAACCTTTGAGCCTCAACATTTTCTGTTTCCTAATCCTAAAACTTAATATAAGGAAAAATACATCTTTAAGTGGAAAACTTCGATTCTGAGACTATAGTAAAATGTGACTGATTTTTTTGGGCGTGGTCATATAGGCGTGGTCGAAACTTTGCGAATGTCAGATTTCTTTCTGCATCCGCCCCTGAGTACCGTTGTTGTGCGCCAAAGATCTTTGGCGTAACACACATGTTTTTCAGAATGGACTGGAGAGAGGATAGCAACTTACAAGAGGTATGGGGTGTTTTGAGACCACGCTCTTAGTTACTCTTATAAATTCGCCGCTCTTATACATAAAAACTTTGTCACATTATGGTTCAAATTTTGCCAAATTTCTCTTAACGATTCTTAAGCCTTAATTAGAAAAGCTTAGTTCCTCCTAATCATAAGATTGTGAAACATGATCAATTTGAACCTTTATAGTTTTTAGCAGCCACGTAGCTGCAGAGGGGGGGGCACGGGGGCTGTTCCCCCTAAATAAAAATTTTGACAACAACTTGACCGCTCTGGCCACAGTTTTTCCAAATGATATTTTGAAAAATTTGGCATATTTATAATTCCATGATCTTGATTTAGTTCAAAATATCTGTTTGTTAAATATCTGTTTTCATGTTTTAAAGCCTTTAAAGCCTAGCCGACATCTACAGCTACATGGTTGGTTTTTAGGCACGAGAGCAGGGAGCTTCCTTAGCACACATCATAACCCCTTATTGTTGGTTGACTCGAGAAAAATTTTACCATAGAAATCACAACACAACTCTTCTTTCGGAGCTCATTTCATGCAGCCCATTCATTGCAAAACGTTTTACATGAAATAGTATCGAAGTTCCTTCCCGTTACAGACATGGCTGCTTCTGGCCTGGTGTACGGGGCTGGAGGAAAGAAAGATCTTCTTACAGTTTTGCAAGACTATATAAAACAGCAAGAAAGAAGAAAGTCTCACAGCTCTATGAATGAAGGCAAGTTGTCAGGAATCATTCCATTTCGTCAAGCCTCATGGCCTCTGTTTTCCTTGCTATTTGTCAATGTGCATTTGCTAGTCCCTTGTCCTTTTCACAAGTTCATTTATGCCAGTACGAAGATTCTTCTATGAAGTTAAATTGATTTTAATCATAATAGAATCACAAGATGTCTGAGCCCATGTTTAGATATTTCTACTGAAGAAAGACAACTTCTGTTGCCTTACTGTCATGTCCAAGTTCCAGAACAGCGAGATAAACAGTATCAAAAAGTCACAGAGCTAAGTTACACAAACCAGATAGTATTCATTTACCGTCCTGTTCTCTATACCAAAGGCGTGTACAGCCCTGCCTATACGGCCTCGAGCACTTTATGACAGACCCGTTAAACAGTAATTTTTCTTAGTATCTATTTACAATACTAAAATTCAATCACATTACCTTATTTAGGCCAAAAACGGTTCTAATAGGCAGTTACTACAAGATTGTCTTTATTATTAGCAAAACAGTTGCCCTAAACATTTACAGCTAATGGATAATGTGAGCCACATTGTAGGGGGATGATGTTATCAAGTTTGATCTTAAAGCCAAATATGTCTTTAAATAGATTCAATGATAGCAGTAAAAGTCCCTGATGTGCTTGCATCTACTGTTAAACAGATGTAAAACAGCCTTATAGAGCCCTACCTTAGATATTGCTGCTCTATTTGGTTAATGATATTGAACCCTCTCTTGATAAACTTCAAAAGTTACAAAACCATGCAGCCAGAACAATTATAGGATGTCTATCAATTATCCTTGCCAATCATTTGTGCTCTTGGATGGCCCACAGTCAGGGAGTTACTCAGGGATGCCGAAACGACCAAGGGGCAAGGGGGGTGGGCTTGAGTAAAAGGCATTTGAAAAAATTAATTCCCAGCTACCAAAAATTCTTTCTTAACTGTCCTTTTGTTTCGATCTTCTGTGAGTATCTTAAAAATTGGCTAAATTTTGGCATAAGAAATTTCTCCATAAGTTTCAAGAAATGTTGTCATAAATAAGGGACTACAGTCAAGATTTCATACAAATCTCATGGATTTTCTGCAAAAGACCGGTGTCAAGGGCACTTCTATAAAAGGGTACTTTAGCCCCGTTGCCCCTCCTATAAAAAGGCAACAGGGGCGGTTGACCCCTCATGCCCCATCTCTCAGGCGTCCCTGGAGTTACTTGCTCTTGAAACCCTCAAGATGGTTTTCAAATCCCTGAATGGTGAGGCCCCATCTTATATGAGTGACATGTTCACTAAGGTATTCTATTATCAACTTAAGAACTTCAGTGTTTAGTATAACTGCTGGTCAGAGATTGTTTTCATCTGACTCATTCAGAGGGGGAAGTCTCTGGAATGGGTTAAATGATGAACACAAAAGGTGAACTAACTTTAAAGATATTTGAGGAAGGGCTGATAAAATCCTGCATTGCATGAGTCACAGTATTTTTTATTTGTAAATTTATTTTTATCTTATTTCTTTCAATCTTATTGTATTATATTCTGTTTATTATATTTTTTTAACTTATACATGGCCTCCTGTAAATCCATATTTAGATACATGGCCTATTTAGATACATGGCCTCCTGTAAATCCGTTTTTCGTAACTGAGGAGGTACCATGCCTAAAAAGTTGAAAAAGAAATGAAAAAATGAAAATGGATCATCTGAAGTAGCATGCTCTGCATTGTCTACTTGGGTTGTCAGAATTAAATCTGTTTTAAGCCAAGGGAGTTGCTTCCTTAGCTGCTTGTTGATGGTAATGAAGTGGAAAGTTGGTAAGATTTGTAATGTTCATATATCTTTTGAAACTTTCTGACAAACTGAAACAGGACACAAAAGGAAAAATTCAAGTCACTGAAAATTTATCACATTATTTCCAATATTTTTAGATGGTTTCATCATTGTGGTAAAAGAGTCAGTATGGACAAGCTTATTTGGAGAGTACTTCATGTCATTAGACCCTGATGAGGAGGTCATTCCTCAAAATGAGGACGATGATATGCTTTTTTATGTAAGATGCAACCCAAGGAAAACTGGTGATGAGGTATGTCATGTTTTGTTCTAATTGTGCCCTAATTTTGAGATAAACCAACCAATCACAAAGAATGTTATTTAACAATTGGCATCTATTCATAAGCTGCTATTTTCTTGTGTCACTACCCTTCCAATATTTGTGAAAAGTAAATTTTGACAAAGAAACATAAGATAGAAACCTTTTTGTACAATCCTGCGCTTTTTATGATGCAAAAAATGGAAAAGATATTTGTGCAGAAGTTTACACCTTTTTAGGCTTTATGGCCTTTCAGTGAACAAATCCAAACACAAGAAGACTATAACAGACAATTTTGTCCGCGAATTTCAAAAGGAACATTAAGCGTGGTGAACAAGATTTTACATTTTTGATCGCTAATTTAGCGAAAGTAGCAGATTTGCCAATTATACGATAAAAATTAGCAGATTTGTGGATTTTGCTAGCCCCATATAGCCCCCTCTTCAGACTTCGCTTTGTTGTAAATCTAGACTTTGGCGACATTTATATTAATGAAAAATGGCCCATCATTATCTTTTATGCATTATCTTCATGGATTATAGACATCTGGCCAGTGAGGTACATAAAATAGATGTGATGCTTGATAACCGACAGCCCTCAGGGCACAGATTTACATGCAAGACAGCAAACATATTTCCTTATTTTTAACTAGATAATTATATAATATAGCAATACCTTAAAATATTTATTTTATTTGTTTTCTTTTGATCAGGTTTTTGTGTTTAGAAAAGAATCAAAAAGTAATCCTGGGTAAGCTATATATGATACTGTTGACATGATCTATTATTAATGTATGAATGATTATGAAATTATCAAAATGCAACAATATATAGTCCAAACAAGTATATAGCAAGGTTAAAACATCCAGAGAAAGTAGACTTAAAGTAAGCTTAGCGTAGCTGCCAAGTCTCGTTGAGCTCGAATCTCTAGCATTCATGGTTGAAAAATCGAAATAAATAATAGAATCAAAGGAAACTATAATTTGGTTCTATGGATCAATAGATCTAAAACATGTAAAGATAATATTAGTTCATCTAATAAGCTGTCAGGTTATTTAGGATTTACATACATCTCAAACTTGTTGTGATATTGATGTTGGAAGGAACTAAAGTTTTTCCTCTAAATAGGCTGGGTGACCCACACATCAACTGGGAGGAAACTGTCTATCTCAATTTGATAATGCATCATGTGAGTTACCTGACTTTATTTCATTTTTCTTAGTGATAATTTCTTAATCAGGCCCCCAAATCATGGCAAAGCTACATTTTCTGCCTGCAGGACATGCCTGTGGTTAAAATCAAATTTTTGGGATTAAAACCAAATCTTGTGAATTTGCAAGTTTAATGCTGACAAGGATTAAGAAAGAGAGGGAGGGTAATGTGTTTTTCCAACTTTACAGATGCTGATAGTGGAGAAGGAGTGAGAGAGAATAGCTATGGTCCACAAAATCCATTGTCCTGCACCAAAAGATCCTCCCTTATTTACCCATTTGTCTCAATCTGTACTCTGGTGTATGCATTCAATAATTTCAAAGCAGTCCTCTCATCCTTACATTATCACCTAACATTTAAGAGTAAATCTGAAATCTTTCGAAGAAATAAAAACAAAATCACACAGCCTCAAGTAATGTTTTATAACTACGTAATTATTTGATGGTTAGTAATGTCACAATCACCAACAACTATTAATCAGGTTATAAATGGTTACCCTAAACACAAGTAACCTCTACATTTGCCTTTCACAAATGAAAATTTTCTTTACATTTGCAGATGGAATATGATTTAACATGTGCAGTTTGTACAAGGCTTCCAAGTCGAGATATGAAGGTTGTTAAAAAGGCATCAGTGGTAAGCTGTATTCTTTCTGTTAGAAAAAGCAAAACTAAAAATACTTTTTTAAGAGTGAATTGTTTTTATTGTCAAAGGCAAAGACACTGTTTGAAGGTTTTTAAGCTTCTGCTGCATAGTTTGACGAGGCTGTGATTCAATGGATAGCCCGTGGAGCTACCACGCAAGCAACCTGGGTTTGATTCCCCATCTGTTAATACCATCAATCTGAAAGACTTGCATTGTAGTGTCGACTCAGCTCTCAATCCTTCTGAGGTGGGTAAATGAGTACCAGTGGAAACGCTAGGGCTAACAACTGGTCACTAATGATGCAAGTCATGCCCATTGACTGCATGTGCTGAATGGCTGTACGTTGAAACAGCTACAGCAATGTACCTGGTACAGAAGGTGTTGTAGTTAGTTTTAGCTGTATAGTTTCAAATAAACGTTCTTTTCAATTCAGATTTGAGAATTTAGAGAGGCAGTTTCTGCATAACAGTTAAAATGTGTTCCGTTTCAAGTTCAAGTAAAAGGGTGCCAAGCTGCCTGCTTAAGTTACAAAGCTCTGCCTTATTTTGGCTCATTGTCACCCAACCCAACAAAGTTTTCAGGCAATGGAGACTGCTTTTTCCCAGATTGCGTGTTCAAATTCTGCCCTCACCATGTCACTCACCCATATTTTCTCTTTGTATACTTCCAAAATTTGTTCCTACTATGGAGAATGAAAGGACAGTAAGAAGTACAGTAGAAACCATTTGATTAATTAGATGTAAAAACAGATCTCATGGATTTAGGAACATAAACTTGACAGACATTGTCACCAGACTTTTCTTAGCGTTTTGCCTTCCAGCCTTATTTTTGCCTGTCATCTAGCCTTGGTCTAGCATGATAGTCACATTCATTCAATTTCAGCCACAGATCAATCTGGGCAGTGAAACGTATAAACATATTTTGCGTCATTTTACCTTGAAACAATTGTCTAGTTCGACTGCATAACCACAGAACGTTGTGTAGCAAATTGACGAGAACATATATATTATAAGTTAAATAGTGTGTCTATTGATTACATAGGGTTTCATTACTAAAACATTAATCCTTCTGTCCAGTTCTTTCTATTCTGCTGCCTCCTCCTGTGAAGCAGATAAAAACGTCCATCAACCAGGAAGTGAACTGTTGGTTCTTGGAAGGCGTTTTGGCTCATTGTCAAACTAGCTAGACACTAGACAAGAATAAACGACAAGAATAAACGACACGAATACAGTAGATAAAATATGGATAAGGGCCTAAGGTTTTCATTGTTTAGAACGAATAGGATTACTAAGATGAGCGTGCTCAAGCTTATCCTTATTGTGGAAAATTTTCTCGGCTGACTTTGTCATAGAAACCTGAGACGGGGGTGGGGCATAGAAAGACGGCCGTCGGTGCATTTGTGGTAAATGGGGGTCTCCTGTTTTTTTGGATTCACTCTTTACAATACAAACAGTTTTTAAAAATTAAAGTTACTTTTGCTAAACAAACGCTGGTGAGAAGGCACAAAAAAGCAACCAAAACTGATTTTAAATATTTTGATGATTACGATATAAATAAAAAATTCCCGCAAGTGTCAAAATTAATCAATTTCCTCAAGAAAAGATCACTCCCTTTACCCAATACTAGTGCTGTATTGAGAAAAAGCCGGGGGCTCATCAGATATACACAGAAATTTATAGACACAGTCTTATGCTCCCAGGGGCTTGCTCCATCTTCTTTTATCCCATTTCAATGTAACACCCCTCTAACAGTGCTTTTCTCTATATGTTAATATCAAGATATCACACCCCATGGCCAAGCCCTTTTTAAAAAAAATCTAATAAAAGTGACTTGTACCATGTTTGGATAAATGTTATAAGGGGTAAAATTTAATGGGCTTATTTTGTCAACTAATGACAACTTCTCTAAGCTTCGCTCTACTTGATATCTTCACTTTATTGGCGTCCCGTACATCGCTATTCTTGGAATCTGAATTCCCAGTATTCTTTCGACCACCTTGACAGTCCATAATCAAGGCGTTTCTGAGATGGGGTTATCGAAACTCAATGGTTTTTTACAATTTATTTCAGCAGAAACATAGTGTACAGCAGGTGGTGCTTCGTGACTCCTGTTTACCCCATCACTTGTGCTTCCGGTTCCCTGCCCCGTCTCTGTTCCAAGCGAACGATTACGCCTTCTTTTCAACGTACACAAACCGCGAATTTTCGTTAAAGCGATCTTTCGAAATCTCGGTTGGAGGAAGACGTAAATAAATGGGTCGATGAGCATGTTTATATTCCACCATAACTCGAAAACTGGTTGCGCTTGAATGCTCGTTTCTTCAGCGTAAGAATGCAATATCGACATCGCAAGGTCAGGAATGATCGCAAAGAAGACAAAACCAACTAGAATAACTGTCGTAACAATGAAAAATCGATGGTTATCGTCGTTCGTATCTTTATGTCGAAACTGGAGATTGCTTCGCTTCTTGCGGTAGAACAGAGAACCATATGTAACGACAAATAAAACGACAAAAATTACGTCAAATGCTACCCAAACAAATTGGTCGTAAAATACTCGAATTTTTTCCATATCCAAAAAACAGTAAATTGGCGCAGGAATCAATCCAAATATCCAAAGAAAAATAAGAAGATTCCGCATTGTGTTTTTTCCAGAAATCGACCGGTATTTAAAAGGAAAGTTACAAGCAAGAAACCGGTCCAGTGTAAGTAAATAAAACATCGTATACCAGGGATGGTAAATAACTGCCCGGATCATCCAAACTATTAACCCGGCTTTACTATCCAGTGCTGCGTGTCCGGATAATTCAACTGATATTTGGCAAATGAAACCAAGCGAATTCAAAATGTCAGCAATGCTTAGACTGATAATAATAAGAACTTGGTTGGACCGGCCGACTTTTGCCGCTTTCAGAATGTAAATTCCGCAGATATTGAACACGATGGCACCAACAACAACGATTATACTGAGGATGTTGCATGCTAGTTTCGACGCTGCATCCATTTCACATCCAAAATTCTGATGAGACCAGACAACGTAAATGTTTTGTACCTCCGCATACTTATCGATGAACTTTTGGTTTGTGTGCAGGATTGCGCAACAGCACTAGTGATACGGGGGTCATGTTGTGAGCCATTCCAGCGTGCCGTATGGTTCACAGGGAACCGCTGTTTCGGAAATGAACCCCATCCTGCGCGTTTCTTCTATCATCTTACGTTTTTCTTGGCAAGGCTGTAGTATTTGGTTTAGTTCAGGGTATTCATGAAAATCATTTCTGTAGCGGAAGCGTCCTTGTTGACTCAATCAACTTCCTCTTTTTGTTTATCTCATTTGGTTTATGCAAGGATTTCCTTAGGTCTATTTTCATTCAAATGCTACTTTTAGCGTGAAAGCAAAGTTTGACAAATCTATCCGTGGAAAAATGACTTGTATAAAGCTGTTTCGGGATCAATTTGAAACCTGTTTCAACTTGAAATGAAATCTGAATAGTATGTAAGAACGTATAATTCAGAGCCTCCGACGGAAACATGTAATACAATGGCCATGCCCATGCCTCACTTTTTGCAAAACAAAGAGCTTTTTTCAAAATCTCACTTTCCATCTTGTGTTGGAGCCCATGTAATATGGAAATAAAAAGGAGCTTTTCTCAGCCGTGTGCAACGAACTATATGGAACAATAAAGCCAAGTGGAACCATGTATAATCTCCCTCAAAGTAGGTAAGTCGTACTGGTTGAGTGTTGAGCTACAAGAGGAGGGGCATTTAATGGCAACCGGAGTGGAGGGCTTCACAAAATTTTACGCCGTGTTTTTGATCTGTTACATTTTATTTCAAGGCTCCTTGTGCGCTGTTGTATGGAATAGCCCTAAATAACACGATGTGTCGGATAACAGCCATTAGAAGCCAAATTGAAATTGCTCCAGTTGTGGATCCAAGATACTGTACTGTACAGCTATTTCCACTGCCACTGCTTCCAATAACTCCTCTTGTAATGAATACTGAATCTTGACTCTCTATCTCTCTCTAATAAGAAAGCGCCTGGTTTATTGCCACTTTTTTGATAAGATATTACTAGTTTTTATTCGCATCTCTCTTTGTTTCAGAAAATATACGCATCGCCCCATGCACGGAGGTACGCGATTTTCATTATTATACTCTTTTTTATAAGAACCAGTAAATTCAAGTTCAGGCTGGCTGTTCATAGTTCTTTCGAAAATCGCAGGCTGGATTGTTTTTAATTTGTTCTTAATTTAGTAGGGTGTAAGCAGTGCGATTTCTAGCTTTTTCGCTCTAGGGAGGTGGTCAGGCCTCACTTGCCAACAAAGTGCGCGAGACAACCTACATTAACCGCCATGTTTGAATATTCACCAAAAAAGCACCCACACATCGCTTAAAATCCTTTTTCTTTAAGATGAAACGTTGCTTAAAATTATATTTCACAGTAGCTCAGCCTCAGCTTGTTCTTAATTTGCTTTTAACTTTTGACCAGTTTTTAGGCTCATGTTCTTATAAAAAAGTTTTTATAAAAAAGGGTGTCCTTTAGATATAAGCTTTAGCCAATGAGGGCTACTATTTTAATGAGGTTTTAAATAAGTATTAGGTTTAGAATTCGTTCAGAACTGCACTTTACCCCCAATTTGATTCAGGGTCCATTTTCGCTTTAGACAAAGATTGCTGTCGAGGCAAATTATCTTTGGGACAAATAACTACCCTTCCCTTTTTCTGTCTCCCGTGACACATGAATCTTCACCTCAGACAACTTTCATAATCAACTAGTTCGAACAAATTTCGCCAATGAATCGTATTTGCGTATCGTTTTTTACGTATTACGTTTTCTGTGTCGTTTTTACCTATCGTATTTTATGTATTGCTTTTTAAATATTTGTCTACGAATGTTTGGTTTATTCACAGAATGGACAGTAAAGGCGAGGAGTCCAGTCAATCTTACCCGAATTTATTCTTCATGATTGACACATATGATGAGGTATCTATTCGCGCCTTTGTTTAAAAGTTCATTTCATAAGTTTTTCTTCAGTTTCATTTCATGAAAAAACATTTATTTATCTGTATGAAATACTTCTGGCAAATCAATTTAAAAAATCTTCTACTTAAAGAGCAAATCTTGCCCTCCCCTCAACTTAAACCCCAAAAATCACAGTTTTGTTCCTTCTATTGATGCCTTTAAATATAAAACTCGGTAAAAGTAGTTCCCTGCTCCTAAGATATGTTACTCTTTCCGTTAAGGTTTTTGGATCTCTTTGTGTTGGCGAAGATGAGATGGTCTGCGTTGAACTGGTTGCCAAACACAAGGTTACAGCATTTATTGTTTTACTTTAAGCTACTTTGTTTTCGTTAAGAAAATGTCACACAATAAAAATCGTATCATCCTAATTTATTTAACAGATTTTTGCTCCATGTTTGATCGAATTTTATGTCACGTGAGCATTTTGTCAGGTGCCTTTGTTTAGAATATGGGTTTACGGATCCTTCTCATCTTCCGTGTATCTTATTCGGACTGTATCTTATAGAAAACTGAGTTATCAATTTTCCCCTTATCTCATTGTTTCTCTGGTCAGTAGTTTTAATGTTCCTTCAGTGAACATTTTATCACCTTTTGTTATTTATTTTTTATGTTATTGAAAAATTTTTGTCTTCCATTGTAAGTTTTTTTAACTTATTATAACTTGTCCTTAGGTTTCTGATGAGATATTGTGTTGAAATAAGAATTTAATAAAAAAAAATAAAAATGAAAAAAATGTATTCTGTGGAGTGTGGGAACGAAATGTCAGGAAAAAAGTAGGAAGACGATGTTGGAAAAACTTTGATTGAAAACGTTCCTAAACCATTTTGTTCCCCCCCTATTTCATGCCATCTTGAAATTCAGTCATGTTTTCAAAGCTTTTTCTTTTATTTCAATCTTTTATGCACAATATCTCTTGAGCTAATATTTACAGATACGAAAAATGCATATACAGGTTTATTAATTACGATCACATGCAAAATGAAAATTACATCTTATCTCACTGAAGAGTGTTATTTTACAAGGTCTTTGTGTTTTTATTGGTTTTCGGCTTAGCAGCTACATTTTAGTTAGTTTTTGAAGTAGCTAGTTTTTAAAAGGGTAGGTATGCAGCTCCCTGATACTTCTGAACAGTCAGAAAATTCTTTTTGGCATAGCCTAAATTGTATTTCGGAATCTGAAGAGCTCCAGAGAATCGCATGCTGCGAGTAAGGTATAGCTGGTTTCTTTGCATGCTTGTCTTTCATTCTAGGAAAATGGAAGCAAAGCTGTAATATTTCTCGGCTCTGTAACCTATGAGGCGCTGAAGAAAGTGTACGATAGCAAGGTAAATTACCTTCCTTTGTATTTCATATTCGCAATACAAATACTGCTCTCACTGCTATGCTTAGGTAACTCTGCCAAATCTTTGCTCGTTCTTTTCATGCCTCTCTACCCATAAACTACAGCGATAAGATTATTAGAGGTTCAAGTATAATATTTTTGCTATTGAATAGTATTTTCAGGGGGCTCCTCTAAGGGATGCATCAGCTCCATATTCTAAAAGGAAAATAAGATCTAATTGATATTGGAAATGTTGCGAGGGTGACAGCCCAACAGGATCAAGAATATGCAAGATATTATTCACATATGAACTTCCAGTCACTCGGATGACTTGATTTTTCCTTTTGATGTAGCAAGCAACCCGTGTAGCCGCCATATCTGCAGGAACTGTTGTTTTGACTTTTGTTTCAGCTTGTATAAACTTCTCCCTAATTAGGTTTTAATCACTTTATTTTCTATGGTATCATTCGCAGGGAAGTTTTGGGATGAAGGTAGCCCAAAAAATGTCACTAGGCTGGCTTTCGAACGATCAAGATCACACGGAGTTCATAAAGATGAAAGGACCACATGGAAAGGGGTTTGCGGAGATGGCAATTAGACAATATAAACCAAGTGAAAATGACAATGTCAGCAATGCATTGGAACACACGTATGTTCTGTTCACTCTCTTGATGTTCGGTAGTCTTTTCATCATTGGATTGCCAAACGTTTTCAGCAATTTTATGGAATTTCTCAGCTTTTACGATAGATTTAGTTAACAATTCGACTTCTACATACTTGTAAAGTATCCTCGTCTAAATTGGTATCAAATCAAATAATGACACGGCAATGAGCTCCCCCCACCTACCCCCTCCCCCAATGGCTACCTCTTCCTTTGAATAGTACGTCAAGTCATTGTCTTGTCAATAGTTACAAGACTTTTATTACAGATACCGTAAGTTTCTTCGAAGGGCAATTCGATAGGTCACCAAAATGGTTTACATTGTCAACTCTCGACCATCTGGAAAAAGTACCAACGCTGTCACAGCAAGTGGCTAAAGCTTTGCACACGGATTTGAAGGAGTGTTCACTGGGGTTGCTGCCGTTTAGGTAGCACAGTTAACCAGTGGGTGTTCGTGATACCCCAAGTGATAAAATCTGCTAAGAAGGCAAGATCCCTAAGTAGGTCGTCTGCTGGATTTCCCAAGTCTAGCAGTGATAAAAGTGAGGGAAAAACATCGGGAACAAGGCAATAGACGAGAAGCAAAACATTTTCAAAAAATAAACTGGTTACTGTTTGTAAAAATCTTTGTTATCGTTTATCATATGTAACTTTCTGGTACAAAATACACTAACTTGATTATTTGTACATGTTGTTTATAGCTGTCACTGTCAAGGATCTGATGAGAGTGGTAGTTCGGGACGAAATTCAATATGTCCAAAATGTGGGCACAGAAAGAACCATGGGGGTAACTTATTTATCTTTTCACCCTATTGCTTGGAATTCTATTACGATCTAAGAATTTAAGTGTCCCATTTTATCGAATTCTCTTGTATTAGTAACTTTGCCATTTCAACTTTATCTGCACAGATGCCCTATCAATAAAATCATTATCGGCATCCACACCCTTTCAGTAAAGGTGGAAAGCACATTAGAGAAGATAGTAATAACGAGACTATAGTTTTTTATTCCATTTGGTTGTTTATTGGTCTTTGTGCTTGCCGTTCTACACGGTGTGTTTCTTACTTGTGTTTTTTGTCACTCTGCTACTTCACTAACTTGATTTCCGTTCACATCTATGATTCTCCTTGCAATTAGCTTGCTTTTGGTGACCTATGTGCCCCCAAAACTTCGCTCATGCATGCTTATGTTGTCAATTTATTCCCTCCGTAATCATCCGTGCTTTCATTGAATTTGTACCTCTTATCTTCATGGTGTTTGATTTCTAGGTTTTGCCGTTCAAATATCAGCTCTCTTGTTTGAATTTATGATTTATCTTGGCCTTTTTTGAAAAGTTAAACACCCGTAGTTTTCTTTCCTAGGTGCAGCACCATTAAGTTCATTCAAGTGGATGGGACATAGGTATGGTTCCATATACTTTTCCTTAAAAGTTTCACTTTCTCCTGCTTGGTCGGACAACAACACGTAATCCTTCCTAATGACTTGTCAAGCTGTTTTGTTTTTGTCGTCATCATATACTTTGTACTTTAACTGGCTTGGTTAATATGCCTTAATATGACTTTTGAAAAGTTATGCTAACTGGGTAGGCAATTTATTCATAGCTTTCGAATCGTTGTACTAACTGAGTAGGCAATATTTTCATGGTGTGAAACAACAAGACAAATGAATTTCCACAGTCAAAGTACCAAAGTGGAGGTTCTGCTGTAATGATGCGATTATGTATGTGCTCTGATTCACTTTTTGGAAAATTTTGTCTTTTTCGCATTAAGACGACTACAAATCGAGCGTCAGTCACGTTTAGTGTGAATGATTGAACGAAAAATTGAAATGGTTTTATGTCTTTGTGACTTTGTGACTTTATGTTTTTGTGACTTTGAACACAAATTTAGTCATTAAACTGCTCTTAACAAGCTTAATTGATATAAATTTCGTAATTTAGGAAAAAGACAAGTAGTTTGCTTAGTACGCAATTAACATATGTCAACCTGCCTTGGAGTCGAATTATGAAAGGTATGTGTCTTGAATGTTGTGTTCTGTTCCAAAAATTATGAAAGGTATTTGTCTTGTATGTTGTATTCTGTTCCAAAAATTATGAAAGGTATTTGTCTTGTATGTTGTATTCTGTTCCAAAAATTACGAAAGGTATTTGTCTTGTATGTTGTATTCTGTTCCAAAAATTATGAAAGGTATTTGTCTTGTATGTTGTATTCTGTTCCAAAAATTATGAAAGGTATTTGTCTTGTATGTTGTATTCTGTTCCAAAAATTATGAAAGGTATTTTTCTTGTATGTTGTATTCTGTTCCAAAAATTATGAAAGGTATTTGTCTTGTATGTTGTATTCTGTTCCAAAAATTACGAAAGGTATTTGTCTTGTATGTTGTATTCTGTTCCAAAAATTATGAAAGGTATTTGTCTTGTATGTTGTATTCTGTTCCAAAAATTATGAAAGGTATTTGTCTTGTATGTTGTATTCTGTTCCAAAAATTATGAAAGGTATTTTTCTTGTATGTTGTATTCTGTTCCAAAAATTATGAAAGGTATTTGTCTTGTATGTTGTATTCTGTTCCAAAAATATGACCTCATTACAGCCTTCTTCATTTCTCCCTTATCACAGAACAGAAATTGCCATAAACTGTAGAAGCTTATCGATAGTAATGTTAGCCCCAAGGCTATAACTAAACTACGGCAGGGTGGCAGGGCTAATGTCGATGAAGAAGATTGCAACTTTGTTTCACCAAGGTATTAGTTAAGATGTAAAAAACAACTTGTCGATGCACTCCGGCTTCTGGTATTTTCCAGATCATTTTACATAGAATAATGTCATATGCCTTGGGTAGCCTGCCTGTCTAATTTGTTTTGTTCTGTAATCTGATAGCGGTGTAATAGTTTGATATTATGTCATATATATTGTAAGTTTTATTTGCTCTATATAAGTTTTATTTTCTGTATCGACAGTCCAGCAGTCTGATGGACTTTCTCCTTCAAAAGCAAAACTCAATAAGATCGCTTTTTCTCTACTAAAACCACATTAAAAATCATTGAATAGCAAAACTGACGATGATTATCAACTTATTCTTGCTTTTCAGATCTACTCGAGGTTCGCCAGAGCCCACTGTTTTCAAAATAGCTTCTTTACGCTAGACTAAGCGCCTTGATAAAGATCAAGTCACCTTCAACCAGGTTTACTTACCAAATGTAGTTTAATTTTATCATGATGAAAGGTCTGCGAGATATTTTTCTTACCCGTGTATTCAGAATAACAGAACCGTGAATATAGTATGTGAAAATCGATAAATTCGCTTTAGTGAACTGCAGCGCCGTCGAGAGGGGGGCAAGGGTGGCATATCGCCCCCAGGGCCTCGAGATCTATGGGGACTCATTAAGTGATGAATTTCATTTTAAAATGAAATTAATTAAAAGTAAGAAAATAATGCCTTAAATCGTAAGATGTTTGAAACAAAAGAATGAATTAATGCTAATCTAAAAGGCGTGGTCGCGAAAATCTTCTGCTCGCTTCGCTTGCAGGGAGCCTCGTCTTCCAGTTTTGCCTCAGGGTCACTAAAGCCCCTCGGCGGCCCTGGTGAACTGTGACGTACAAGAATTAGATTGCTGTACGTCGTTGTCTTATATTATGTGGTTTGTTTTGTATAGTTAATAGTAGTGTTGGAATGATCAAATTTGACATTATAATTAGTTAAGAATTTGTAGCTTTGTCTCAACTAGTATACTGTTTGTATATTTCTGCAATGAAAATGCCCGTGTTTACGTTGCTCTTACAGACAAATTTAGATTTGACCATTTATTATCCCGACCTTCCCTCCTCATGACATTTCAATCATCTTTTTCCGTACTCGATTATAGAAAATTTCATTTTGTATTTAGCATTAAATTCTAGCAACTGCGGATAATGTTCTTGATTATCTTCAGTTGCAGCCAGTGGCCTTTGTAGAAAACCTCTATCGAAGAAGGGGTTTAGGCGCAATTTAGCTGTCAAAAACCACATTTGTTATATCTAAAGCAAGATCTGTCTCTTTTTGTGACATAAAAGATGGCTCCTAGACTGACATGAGATGCCCTGTAAGGATGTACATTGTCAAAATATTTCAATGAATTTTTATTTTGCATTCATCCTTGCCATTTTGTGACTCTGTAAAATTCTAGAAAATTTCTGTAGACTTAGCCTAGCTTTTTTCGTTTCTTGAATGTTTATGTAACTGTTCTTCGTAGAATTTATACTTAAAGCATTATTGTATGATACATATTTCAATCAAATGAGAAAAATAATAATTTTGATATCGAAGAATTAACTGTAATCCTCGTTAAGTCGTTGAAATGCTAAAACTCTTCCAACTTTAGATAAATGCGAACGCTCTGACGAAATTTGCTACGTATGTCCCTATTACGTTCTATCAAAATGCTAAGTCGTGGGCTATTTTGAAGAGTTGTAACATTTTGATTAAAAAATATACTGTCTCATTAACCTTTTGTAAGCCTTTACATTACATTTTTAACTATTTCTTTGTATATGTATTTCAAATATCTTGTTATTGTTTTATGAATATTAATGTAATGTACAAGTTTAAGTTGGGAAACCGTATGTTTTTTAAGTTTGTCAAAAGTTCTGTGAAGTACTCAATGGACTCGTTGAGAAGCTGTTTGATTATTTATTTTCTTTAACTCTCCTACTGCAGTAATTTTTACTGTGATTCTTGCCGGCTTTATTATTTATTGGAAGGTTTAGGGCATTGAATATGCAAAAATGGGTTAAAGCTTAAAACCATTGTTCACTAGGCTGGCCGAAGAAGAAAAAATTTACATTTATTTTTGGTTTTAACGAACCCTCACCTTGATACCGAGGCTGTCGGTTTTTTCCAAGATGGCCTCTCTACTGGAGCACTTTATTATAGCCACACTTCTTGCTCTTCTAGCCTATACGAACAAGGAGAGAATAAGAAAATACTGGCATTCTCGTGAAGATGATGCTCTTCTTGGCCTTGACTTGGCCATAGAGAATGCATCGACGAACTTTGCTAAGGTTGCTGTTGGGTGAGTTTAAATGCCGGGCTTAGGGTCACATCGCCCTGATTGAGTATGTACCTGGAAACGTGTCATTTACATCGCTTCAACTATTGCAAAAAAATTGGGAGATTGGGGCTAAGCTGCGACCAAAAACACGAGAAATCATGTGTATACGCCATTTATCAAAGTTAAGAAAATATTTTGCGTTCAATTACTCAATCGATGAACGAATAATTGGACAAGAAAATAACTCACCTGAAATGAATGAAGAATCACATGTCTGCCATTTTGCGTAGGATGTTTCCGGTACTCTTTTTTTCATAATTATTTTTGAAAGGGACGAGCATATCTTAGCTGTTATTTACATACGGAAAACATCCAATCAGGGCGACGCCAGAAATTTAGGCCGTCAAGACAACTAGAAAGTATCGCAGCCTTTTCAAGAAACTTTGTAAAACAAATTACCTGATCTGTAAAAATATATATCTGAAGAGCCTGAAGGATTTTGTCAGTGCCAAATTTTGTCTAAGTCTACATAAAAAAAAGAAAAATTTGAATTTGTATCTATGTATACTCAATCAGGGGGACGTGACCCAATATTTTTCACTGTTTTGTAGAAAGTTTTGGAAACAGGAAAAGAGCCCTTACCTAACCCCCTTTACCAGGGGTTCCAATGACACGGTAATGAATAGACATGGACTCTAATTTACAATTTTTTTTAGACCAAAGGGCTTTGTTGCAATAAGTGCTCTTGCGCCCAGCTTCTCCAAACTGCATAGTACGGCAGTTTCAAAATGGCAAAATATCAAGTGTGCATGTGTGCACTCTGGAAGAAGTGTGCACTTCCATTTTAAATATTAGTGTGAAAAACTGAGCTAGTGCCTGAGGATAATCAATCAAGAAGTGAAAATAAACTAAGATAAAGAAAGTACATGGTTTATAGTTATCTTGAACCAATGCAAGATTATGTTGATCTTGAGTAAACAAATTCTTCATTTACCCTAATGTTGATAGGATGCACTCATGTCACGCCTATATCTCGAAATGCCACACCCTTTATCAGGTGCTTGTATTGCTTCTCAGAAACCTCCTGGTGTCCCTGCAGGTTCCTCTCAACTTTCTTTAAGCTATATAGATAATGCTATACATCATTTATAAAAGATCAAATAGTACTGAGATGCAGCTTCTCTGAGTGTTCTTGCATGTCACTTATCTACCACACAACCTAAGCAAGAGTTTGAAGAAAGATACTCCAGTTTTTCAATACAAAACTGGTTTCATGTGAAGGTGGAATCCATAGCTTTTCTCATTTTAAGCTTGGATTTTTTTTCCAGGGTGAATGCAAATGTTGATGTTATTGTGTCAGCTATCAATGTTTTAAAGCAAGTTGGAATAAGACCTAGCTTAAATTCACAAGACCACAATGCGATTGAAACTGCAGGGCAATTGGAGGAATGCTTTCTGTACCATTTTAAGAAATGTGCAGCTGCAGAAAGATTCATTGCCTCAGAGGAATTATTTGATCAGTTAATTAAAGCATCAGTATCTCTTGAAAATGCAAAGGTAATTGGTTGTTAATGATATATGTTGCATATGATCGTGCTAGAAGAACTATACCGTTTTAATTCCATGTCATTTTCTTTTGATGTGTCTGATTAACTCCTAGCCTTCTTTCTTACCAGTTTGTTTTTTGCATTTACTTTTTCATGTTTTTTTATTTGATTGCATTGTTGTGTCATGTTCTTGATTGGGACAATTATTTAGTTGTATTCTTAGTGTAGTTTTGCAACAAAGTACTGTACTTGTTTGGTTAAAATGAAAATTTTTGTATTTTCTGCAGTACTCAGTTGGTGGGAATTCTGCATTGATGGGTTTGAAAATGCTTTATTCAAGCCCAAACAGTACAGTGAGTACATATTTATTATGTTACAAGTTCAATGTCATCTAATAGATACTTAATTGCCATTTAATTGTGAAACAAGGCTAGAATTTTCTATATTTTAAGGAATCTTTAGGAACAGTTCTGAAGGTCTTGCTTCTGAGGCATTTTTCCAGAGATCATATGGAATCTTTGGAAACTTCCTCATTGAAAATATATTGTGGTTGCTTTATTACTATTTTGTTTGTAGTATCAGGACTGCTTTATAAACTGGTGAAATGCCAGTAAACCTTTGTGATTCCTTGGATGGTCAACAAGTGAAATGTGATATGATGCTAAGCAGACCTAAAAAAGTACCACTAACACCAACCACTAAGCTAGTCTCTCAACTAATAGTTTTCATATAATGTATGCCATGTTGTTTTGTTAATCCCCTCTCCATGTTATGAATTTCATGCACTACCTAATTTCTCAGATCCTACTTGGTGGCCCAGTTGGCCCACGTCTCTCAGCTTTGTTAGATGAAAGGATTCAAGTACCAAATTCAGTGCTGCAGAAAGTTGACCAATACCACATCATATTAGAGTACAGAGATGGTGATGAATGGGGAGGTGTAGTTTCAAAATGCTCGAATAGATTCATTCTTACAAGAGACATGCCCAATGCCAGAATGATGTCAATGGAAGCCTTTTTCAGTGTGTTATTTTTCTCAGTCTTTTTGACATTTATTGTGCTTATTGTGACATTTAATGCCCTGAAGCAATTGGTTTCACTCCTTTGTGCCATTTCTCTTGATGCTGAACATCTTCATTCTGTAAATTATCATATTTCTTCATTTCTTCCTCCACTTGCTTTTCTCAAGTCTTTCTGGGTCTGCCTCTCTTTCCCCAACCATCAACTTCAAAAGTTAGTACCTTTCGTAGAATATGTCCATACCATCATACTCCATTTGCTTTTGGCTTCTCCATTGATTCTTTCAAGCCCAACATGTCCATCAGTTTGTCCTTGTTCTTCTTATCCATCAGTTTCACCCCACATATCCTCCTCACCATGGCTCTCTTGGCCCGTCTTAAAATTGCCATCTCGTTTTCCTTTAAGTGCCATGTTTCACTACCATATAACGTAGCTGATCTTACACAGGTCTTTTCGTTTAAATCTTTAAGCACAAAGCAGTAAAAAATTGAATTTCAAAGATGAATCAAATGATATATTGAAATTGACCAATAATGTTTTATTATGAAAATACATTAGGAGGGAAAGAATAAGAGCAAAAGCAAAAACATCAGTTGTTAGGAGATGCAAGATTGTAGTTTTAGAGATATTTGTTGACTGATGATATCTTTAACTGGATCTTAAATAGCTGATTGTAGATTGTCTACTCTCTTTTGTAGGCAGCCTAATTTCCTTCCAGCCAGATCTGATTGTTATATCTGGTCTTCATTTACTCGAGAGCGAAGATGAAGAATTCCGATACACGAGAATAAAAGATTTAGCAAAGCACCTGCAGTTGATGAATGCAAAGATTCCAATTCATTTGGAGCTAGCTAGCATGGTTAAGGTTGATTTTCTGCAGCTGATCGCGTATGAAATATTCCCATTGGTGGATTCCTTAGGACTTAATGAACAGGAATTGGCTTTTATTACTGTAGCTCTTAATGGACCTCACCGTAAAGACGGGGATTTGCGCCAATGGCCTCCTGAAATAGGTATTTTCTTATTTTACTACAGTTTTGTTTAACGTTGTATCATTTTTATGATCATTGAAGAGATTCTATTCCTGATGGGTCATAGTAGATGCTCAATGGCGGTAGAGTCTATCGTGCCCATAGTCTTTAGTTGTACCCGGGTCTCATTTCTTTCCCTTCTCTTCCTCATTTTGCTGTTTTATAAAATGGTTCATTACCAATGCTCCTTTGAGACTTCTTTCCTAAAATAACCAAGTAAAATTGCTACAAGCTTGAAGTTTCCATTGTCATATCCCTTCATTGATTTCGAAAATCTCCCTTATTTCACATATGTGATTCACACAGTCCTAAAGAATTCAGCCGTTTTGGTATATCCTTATAATGCCTAAGGAGATTCTTTTCAATCATATTCTATGCAACTGGTTTACATTTATGTAAGTACATTTCGCATGACTGTCAATTTATATGATTTTATACGATGACATAATTTTACACTGACTGTTTTCCTTATCTGGTACATGACTTCGTTTTTTTCTGGAATAATTTCAGAGTTCTGTTTCCTAGGGGTGATGAGTGACATATTATATTGGACTTTGGAGACTTTTGGGAAAGATTCAAAACAACAAGCCCAGTCGAGACTTACAAGAATCCATTTCCACTGCCTTACATACCACATCATTGCTGTTATGCCTCGTTTCTGGTCCAAAAGTGAAGTGGCAGCGGCTGCAGGCTCATCTGCTGTAACACGACAAGCTTGTAACCATGACAGCATACTCATAAACGAGGTTGAGCTGCGTACTCCAGAATACTTTGCCAGATCTGTGAATGAGTGGACACTTCGGAGAAATCTTGTGAAGCATGATCAAGCAAATCCTATCACATCTTGGTCAAGAAACAAAATCGATTTCCATTTTAGCGCCGTTCTTGTCTGTAAAAAACCGAAGCGAACTGTTGGATTGGGTGACTGCATCTCGGGTACTGGACTTCAATATTCCAAGTTTAATGGCCCATTTAAATAGTCTTTTATTGGTCCAAAGTTGATTTAGAGAATGCTCGACTAATACCAGCACTAGGATAGATCAAGGTATACCGAAATTGTAGCGTAAGATACGAATTACCTCTGCTGCCAGAAAATGATTTTTGGCTTTTGAATTTAGCAAATACAGATTTACGAATTTCCTGTGCTACAAGAAAACGATTATTTGAAATTCATTTTTTTGAATAGCATTTATTTATTCACCTGTTGCTCTTTTTCTTTCTAGTTTCTTTCTTTCTTTCTTTATTTAAGAACTCGTTTACACGAGAATATTTGTCTCCATTTGGTACCAGTGTCGATTATCAGAACTGGCCCGTTTTTGTCTCGACCAGAGCCATGACGTAGTTTGAAAACAGGTTTGAGTTCAACGACATAGCTAAAATGAGCAGACAATCAAGTTTTTATATCGCAAACTCCACACACTTCTTCTATGCGAAATCTTGGTGATCTCACCTTCTTCCAAGTAGCTTACTGGTGTGTTTTCTGATTTGACATCACACTAATGACCTAACTACTTTTGCAGCCTTGCTATCTAACAGCATAAGTAAGTGAAAATTTCTACCACATTGGCTTCCTCTTTAACTCGCCAAAAATAGCGAATCCAAAAACTTTGAAGACCAGTTTGAAGATTATCACCGTGGTTTAAGTTTATCAGACCAGTTTGAAGTTTATCACCAAAAAACCAACAGGCATTAGAGTAATGCTGTGCTGTTAAAGAGACAACATTGACAGATAAAGCTAAAAAATATAACCTTTTAATTTCTTGCTATTGTTTTTGTTATTGAGGCTTCATCGTCATTGAAAGAAAATGCCTCTAATTAAGTTAACAATACCATGAAATATATGCTGGTTGTATAAGAAGTCTTGCCTGTCCAGATTCATCCTATTTTATCCAAAGATTTAGCGAGTAGGTAGTAGCTCCCGAAGCCCCATCATCTCCAAAATCCTTCGACGGCAGTGACCCACCTAATCTGGCATTGTCTTCTTCTGTAACGCCAATGCCGTGGTCTGCTCTGGCACAACTTGCTCCACCTCCGCCTATCATTATTACAGAGCCATCTCCAGTGCTATATCTACACCAAAACCCAATATTGTTGCCATTAAGAATATCATTGCTTGCTGTGCAGGTTGATGTAGCGTACTTGAATCCAACGGTTGTCGCATACTGTCCCGAAAACACGGCACTGCAGTTACCAAGACACCTGTCACTGGAAGTCCAAACTTTTCCATTCCTAACAGAGGCAAAGAGATTTAAATGTAAGGCCTATATCACGATCTTTTGTAGAACTTGCAAGCACGGAGAAACATCTAGCTTCTGCTAAGCTCCATATACTTTTGATTAAACATTCTAGTATACACTTCCTCCTTATGAAATTTACTTTTTACCTGTCATAAAGTTCTCGATGCCGTATAGGCAGGTCTGTAAAAGCTTTCGGTGTATAGAACAGGACGGTTCTTAGCTGTCAACTAAACTCTCCTGTCCTATACACAAAAAGCTTATGATTGTTCCTCTGTGAATTGTTGTAAGCCATTCGTTCGGATTACAAATGCACAGTTCTTTCCAATTCATTCTGTTGGGTGTACCACGAGGATATTTTCCTTGTCTGGTGTTGCTTAATTTTTATTTGAATTATCCTTTTGCATGATTAAGAATGAAGGAGGAACTCTCTAAGTAGGAAAACTAATCGAGTGTGAGCCCCCCCCACCCCTCCTTATACCTTGCCAGATTTTTCTTACCTGAAATCTCCATATGAGGTCATCCTAGCGCGCATTGTGGTTCCAAGCAAACACCCTGGTGCATTCAGCAAGGCTGTGTGCTCAATATCGTCACTTCTGCTTACTTTTATGTCGCTACCGTTCACCATTGAAAACGCCAAGCTCAGCATGTCACTATTGACAATGGTCGAATTGGTTTGCCCATACTCCTCTGTTGTGTACCAAAATTCCCCAGAGGCCTGCATCCAGTTCCCTGCATCAGCATTGGAAAACCGCGCAATAAGGGTGTATCCGCCATTTTTCATGTCACAGTAGACCTGAAAGACAGGAAGGATCTGCCTTTTTATCTCAATAATCGTCATTTTTATGGAAAGTGAAAGCCAATGAAGGTTATGATATCGTTAACATATTCGTATAAAACCAGTATCGAGTAAACTGGATTTTGGGATGACTTTGCCCTCTGCACGCCTATGCTTAAATAAAATAACATAGGATGCATTTAGAGCAAGATACTAGGATTCCTTAGCTAGAGTATTTTCGTAGGTTTTGTCGGATGAGATAGTTTCTCATAAGATGTCTTGCTTACACCGAAATTCTGACCATAATAACCAAAAATCATTTTACAATTTCCAGTCAACTCACACCTTTGCTGGTTTAATGAAAAAATTTAACGCCAAGGTTTAGATTTAGCATCAAGATTTTGCCAATGAATAATCTTCTCTTAAATTTTTGACAATTACAATCACAAAATGTCATGTTTCTGATATCTTTAACGTTTAATGTAAAACCACATGCCTTGAGCCATACCATTCATTATAACTCTGAAAGCAACTTCAATCAATGAACTGAAAAAAATGTTTGAAAATATCTGTAGATTTGTTGGAGGGGCCTAAATCTACCGTGTTTGAAATGACAACCAAGCAACTACTAAAATTTCAGCGAAAATTGGAAATGTTCAAACCTGAAAGGTTCGATTGCCAGTGTGGAGCCAATATGCACCGTTTTCTGTCGAGTTGTCCAACGCTTTTATGCTTTTACAGCAAGTATTGCTCTCTACAAATATGTTTAAGAATCACTTTGAACCTTTGTAAAGTGCTGGAAAAATATGTCTCCTTGAAGTTTCAAAAGAAAATATCGTTTGGGTTAAGCTAGTTCATCATCGGGTTAAGCTCAAAGCTTTCTTCCTTTGTTGCAACATGAGTGAACAAAATTGCTCGAGCACAAGACACATTGAAAAACGTTCGTTGAGAAAAATTACAGGGCAAGCCAATTCTATAGGATACCAATAAATTAAATTTAATTAAAAGGACAATAGGCGGAACTTTTGGTAGATTAACCATCAATAAATTTACAGTAAAAGGTTGTCAATCTTAGCTGCCAGTATTTATTTAATCAGAGTAAGTTAACATCAGAAGCATAAAAAAGGTTTCTTGGTCGAAAGCGCTGTATCTCCAAACGTTTGACTTTGTAATTCAAAAGCTTCCCGTACTATCATGATGCTGCACCGTACGTGATCAAAAAATAAGTAAGCATCCAAATAAACAGGTTTTAAAGCACACACCTTTTGATGGAGTTGCTTTCTGTGTATCCTGGGATTTCTGGAAAAGGAACAAATCTCGATACGAAGTATTAGATGCCAATATATTTATCTAACTTAGTCATTTCTTTTTATTTACCAATTTTTGAGATGCCCTGAAGTAAATGCCATCATTTCCCTTTGACCCATCGCTCGGATCATTTATGTGAAAAATGAACAGCCCTCTTTTCCACACTTGAACGAATAACTGTCTTAAACATTATGCTTGTCTTTAACTTCCTACCTCGTTGAGATAAAACACTACTGTAACATGAATCGAGCTTTATGGCCATATTGAAAGGGGACTGTTTAAAAAATAGATAGCCCTACAGATAACACTATTGGGGAATACTGTTGTATTCACTAGATTTCTGAAAAGAGCCATTTAGGTAAGAAAGATCATTTCCGAAATAGGGAGTGTAGAAACGGAGTAGCTCTTCTATTGTTAAAAGGCTTTTGTTCCGAATTATGCATCAACATACCTTTTCGTTTATGCGACTCATGAACGTCCAGCCATCTTGCTTCGTAATGCCATCAGCCCTTCCAACGCCCTGTATTATCTCACACTTAAACGGTCCAACCCCCGAACTGGCCTGAAAATTGGCACCAAGACATGGTTTATCACTTCTGTAGCATCTATGGTAGCATTCTGTTTCTGTATGTACCAACACAGTTGTTGATGATATGCTTGTATGATAGCTTTTCTCTTGTGTAAGAACATAAGCACCTTCTGTTTCAATGGTAGCCGTGACAGAACTGATCCACACCGCTAAGAAACTTAAATGTATTTTGGTATGCATTTGTTATCCCGGGACATCAGTCAGACATTAACCATATGAAGACCTTTCCTTACCGAAGATTTATTGGACTGTTGACGCAATCCAATCAGTCGCTTCCAATTCGTTCACCAAATAAATCCACAAAGAATTTGTATGCTGGAATGAATTGATTATTCCTTGGTCGCCAAATCTCCTGCAAATACTGTATTTTCCTTCAAACCTTAATATAGCGCTGATAATACTACTGTTTGAATATTCCGAATCAGTTTCTAAGATACCGAAATTTGAATGCAAGATCACTTCGGTATATTCAAAGCCATTTGTTTATTAAGGTCTGGTACCTTAATAAACAAATTGAAACAGACTTTATTCTTGATATTACTCTACATGTTTTCTTTGATAGAGGATTACGAAAAACAGTACTGTAAGGTGTGTATTTTGTAGCTCAATTTGAAAAAGCACCTGTTGATTAAAAAGTGCAGACAACAATTTAATCGAATAGATAAAGGCAAACAAAAGATGTCTTGCAGTTTTGTATTCACCCGCTTTAACCTTTGCGGCATTTACGCATTGAGATACTGTCGAACATCTTCAGTCATGTTATCTATTCATTTGGGACAAGCAGATATATTACCTTGATTAACATCTCTCCTCGATCCTTCCTACTTGCTAGATCTTTCAATAACTTCCTCCTCAATATTGACACCATGTAGCAAGCTTTTTCTAAGTTCTTCATAAGACCCTGGTACTAAAGAAGCACAAACTAGTACATAACAAAATTGCATTTCTTCATGAAAAGCTATGGGCACAGAAAACATCCTTGTGTTCCAACAGTTATCACGCAGGTCAATGTCCCTGCGAAGGAATTATTGCTAAGAATGCCGAGGCTGGATTTATTTACAGAAGCTGCAAAGCGTCGAAGAAACAATGTTCTGTTTGAAGCTAATAAAATTTTGATAATCGTCGAACTGATTGCATTGTTAGATGGTCGAAAGTAACGTAATAAGCTTTTGGATGTTTTCTGAACTCTAAACGGGGGATGTGGCATTTAAGGCTCTTTGTGTGCATTTGCAGTTGCAGCTCGAGTCGAGAGAGCTGAACCATCAAGTCTCGCAATCCTTATCAGCTGGATACACATCCGAATAAGAAAGGCATAAAGACATGGATAAAACAAGACAAAAGTCACTCAGGTTTGTATTCCCCTTTTGTAAATTGAAGCTAACCTCTTGGCATGGTAACTACCCTGTTTTGTAAATAGGCCTAGAAATTAAATGAGTAGGCCTATGATTCCAAAAAGTGCCCTAACACCCTCACATTAAAATCTACTGCTTGAATTTCAATAATGATATTGGTGTATGGTAAAACTTTTGTAATGGTGCTTAAAAGAAGAAAATGGATTAATCTTGTAAAAAGGGGGGGGGGGTATGGTGGCTATATCTTGAAATGAAAGCCCCTGCCTCCAGTATCTCAAAACTCTTTAGTGCAAAGACCCCATGAATCAATATGCCAATGGGCTATTCCATTTGATATCTGTACATGGGGATGGAAGTAAAATTCCAGGGGGGTCTGACACGAAGGATATTCCAGGGGGTATCAGACAAATGTATGCTTTTTCCAGGGGGTTGAAAGAAAAAATTTATGAAGTTTTCCAAGGAGTATTAAAAAATGTACGATGTTTTCTCAAATGGGTTAAGAAAATTCATTAAAAAGAATGACTTTAATTTTCCGGGGGTTGAAAGAATCAAAATCAGAGTGGTCATGATCTTCAAATTCACTTTCCGGGGGATATATGATTAACAGAAATCTTACTTCCATCCCCCTGTATGGAGAAAAAATGGAATAGCCCAATATAATCATTCTCAACCTCTCCCCTCACCCAACCAGATCATGCATCCATATCTTCAATATCCACAGGCATAAGTTCCACATCAACTTTAAGATGCCATTGCCCAAACCTGCATTAACCAATGGGTTTATGCTTAAATGCTTAAATGCTGTTATTATGTAACAGCCCCAAAAATGGATGAATTATTTGGAATAGTTTGTGATTTCAGTTTAAGGTTGCTCAAAAAATTGAAAAGATTCACCATGCTAATGACCAGAGCTTTATTCACCTGTATCCTAATTTGATTTCAAGCAATGCAGCGAAGTAGACACCTTTTTCAGTCTGATCTGACAAACTGACCAACAGCTTGAATCTACAGAAAGTTAATGCCGTACTTCTAGCAGAGTTGTCAGCCTTTAGTTACCTGTCATGCAATCACTCTAACACAACATGGCACCCTCTTTCCACCAATGGCTATGCAATTTTTTTGTGCCTTGGTTTGTCAATCACATTTCAGAACTCACAGGCCAAATAGATCAACTTGTGGTGGTCCAAAATGTATACAAATACCATTATCACTGGCTGACGGGTTCCAGTTTAAATGTGATTTCAATTAGATTTGATCTTTTCAATTATGAATTTCAATTATTATGAATTTGGCACCTCCAGGTCTTCACAAATGAAGTTAAAACTTGCACAAAACAACAGACCAACTTTTTGATGTATGTGGTAAATTCTCTATTTAATGACCCTTATTTGTTTTAGCTCAGTAAGGCCTGGTTCAAACATCGCGCTTCTCATGTGCCGAACCTAACTCGAGAATTAAGTACATGAGGGGCGCGACATTTGAATCAATTTGGTACGGCAGATTTAGTTAGGAGCGGCAGACTAGTTGGATCGGCAGAGCTTGCCGAGCCGCATGGCTTCAACATGGCACAGTTTCAAGCATCAAACTTGTCATGTACCGTTCCAAACAAATATTTGAGATTGTGCGCCTTAACCAAGATACTTCATGTAACAATCTTAAAACCCTTTTGGTGCGATATGATTTAGTTTGACGTTTGAAACGGGAGTCGCACTAAACTTGCTCAAGTGTCGCTCCAAACAGAGTTAGGTTCGGCACATGAGAAGTGCGACGTTTGAACCAGGCCTAACTTCCTCCTTTTTTAATATATGCCATCTTATAAACCTTGCTATTGCACATGTCACATTTTTAAGGGAATTTTGATTTTAACCTATGGGACTCATTGCTATATCAGCACAACATTAAAATCAAGAGTTGTTAAAATCAAGAATACTTTCACTTTCAATTCTTCTGATTTCACTAAATTGCCATAATGTAAACAAGACCTGTAAATTATGCCTCTTCCCAAATATTTTCTAGCCCAGCAGAACATGACCTTAAACATAATGAAGGAAGATTATTTTATCTGGATGGGAAAAGCCCAAGGTCCAACAATTCATCATCAACTGAAGAAGGTGGTAAGTTTTTGTGTTTATAATTTCCATGTGATTTATTGTTCAGCAATATAAGTGACATGTTTTAGGAAAAGTAAAAACTTTCTAGTCATAGTTTTGACATTACTAAATGATAAGGAGCATTTTTAGTTTATATTTGAGATGAAATTCCCTTCTGCTCTGATCAATGCAGTCAAGTTACCTATGAATTAGCTGCTAGTCCAATAAGCTTTGCAAATGTTAAAAAATACTACAAAAAGCTGAATCTTGAAAATGAAAGATTCAAACTTCACCACACCAACCATGATAATGTCTTTAAACTCCTGGAGGGAATAAATCCTTCAAAAGCAGCTGGACCCGACAATCTTACAGGGAAATTCCTCAAGGAGGGTGCATCAATACTAGCAATTACCAATTACCGAGCTATGCATCTTTCAATTTCCCGCCGCTTTCCCGGCGGGGCATGTTTTCCCGACGATTGCAAACAAGCGAAATTGAAACCTCTCTTTAAAAAGGGGGAACAAAGATGAACCAAAAAATTATCGACCAATCTCACTTCTGCCGCAAATTTCTAAAGTAATTGAAAAAATTGTCCACGAGCAAATTCTCTATTGTTACCAATCCGGCTTTCGTCCCTACCATTCAACCAACACATGTTTATCATATCTAAGTGACAAAATAGTTCAGCGTTTTGAAAATAGTATGTTTACAGGCATGATATTAATAGACCTACAAAAAGCATTTGACACAATCGACCACAAAATTTTCCTCGAAAAAATGAAGCACCTTGGCTTTGCTGACTTAGTCATACTTATCTCCGATCATATCTAACAAACCGAACTTTCTTTGTAAACATAGGAAAAGATTCCTCGTCACCTGGTGAATTATCGTGTGGTGTTCCACGAGGCTCTATCTAATCTTCCTTTTATATGTAAATGACATGCCACTGGCAGTCAACTGTGACTTACTTCTGTATGCAGATGACTCCTGTCTTGTTTTTGGAGACAATAACGTGAATGAAATAGAAAAACAACTAAACAGAAATTTCAATGCTCTTTGTGATTGGTTTGTTGATAACAAACTAAGCATTCATTTTGAAGAAGACAAAACAAAAGTCGATACTTTTTGGAAGAAAGAATAAACATACGGACAGAAAAAAACTGGACATCAGAAGAGGCAACATCAAGATTAAACAATACACCTCAGTCACATATTTAGGCTGTATTCTTGATGAGGACCTGTCCGGGGAATCAATGGCTACAAGAATCCTAGGCAAAATCAATGGCAGGCTAAGATTTCTTTACAGAAAGCAACATTTTCTTGACTTCTCCTTTCACAGATTGCTAGCAAACAAACTAATTCAGCCCCATTTTGACTATGCAAGCAGTTCTTGGTTTCCATACTTAAACAAAAGATTGACCAAAAGAATTCAGACAGCTCAAAATAAATGTATCAGGTTTTGTTTGAATCTAAATAACAGAGCACATATAGGAATCAAGGAATTCACAAGTATCAATTGGCTCCCCACGAAAGAGAGATTTGAACAATGTATGACTGCAAAGGTTTTCAAATTTTTTGATAATTCAGCCCCACCCTACATGTCAGAGATGCTCTTACCAGTTAGCCGTAACAGAATCACTCGAAGATCTGAAAACAAACTGAATCAACCTTTCCGAAAGAAAAACATAGGGCAAAATTGCCTCTCATATCTTGGTCCCAAAATTTGGAACAATCTACCATCAAAACTAGAATCTGCAAAGAACGTCAATAGTTTCAAACACAAGATCAAAGATAAAATCTTTGATGATCTGCCAAGTCAGGAGGATACCCCCTACATATTTTATTGAAAACCCAAATTCAGCCAACGGAAGGTTCTAGTTAACATTTTTCCAGAATTGCTTTTTTCCTAGTTTCGAATACAAATCAATTTTACATGTACACATTTTTTTATAACATCTATGCAGGGACCATTATGGAAACAAGATCGTATTGACCTTTTTAATGCGATTCCCTGCCATTTTTAACCTGGGGTGTTTTTAGTCTATGCTTTCAACTTCTATCTGTAAATTTTATATATCTGTACTTAGATCTTTTTCTTTTTCTTAATTTTAAATTGTAATTTATTTTATGGCAAAATTATACATACATACATACATGCATGCAGATTTCCTTTTTGGTGAAGTGTGTTTTCAATCCTATCAAATTGGCCTAGAATTCCTAATTTAGATATCAAAGGCATTTTTATCACAACTCTTTTATGACTTATTTTGTTGGCTCTTTCAAGGGGCTGGCAGCTCAAGTAGTTTTGACAACAGTTCAACAGGGAGTACATGTAGTAGTGACATTCAAGGGCAGCCTTCCAGGAAGATATTCACAAGGTATGTTACAGTTACTATTTGAGTTATCAGTCCACTTTTCATACACTTTTATCATAGTGTCACAAAATTGTGATACAATTGAATACAATGTTGTATGTCTAATGTACTATTAATTACAATACTACAACCCAAAATAGAAAAGAGCATCGTGTAAGATAGATCAATTAAGGTGGAATTACTAAAGGGTGAATAAATTAAAAAGGAATTAATTAAGGTTATCTCTTGAAAGGTTATCTAATTGACAGAAAGCCCCTCTCGATTATTGTTTGTTTGAAACTAGGATAACTATAAAATCAAACTAGGATTATTGTTTGAATGAATGGGTTGCCTAAGGTCTTAAGCGACCAGAAAAATGCATATGTGTCATGAAATTTCAAACAAGTTCCATTTCGACAAGCCAAAGGTGAATAATCGAAGAATTATTTGTTTCAGATCTAGTGTTTATTTTGATTCTAAAATTGTTTTGAAGCATTAGCCCTTTGCCCAGCTGAAAACTCTGTAGAAAATAAAATGGTTTACAAGTTAAGGTAAAGATATCATAAGTTAAGCTATGGAAAGCTGAGATTAGGCAGTTCTTGACCCAAGTGATAGAAGACATTTGAATGAAACTTCATGGCAAAACCATCTGGCTTGTTTTAAAAATGGTGTGTATTTGAATAAGAGCATAATAAATTATTATAGCATTAAAATTAATTTGCATGCGTTACATTGTATGTATGTATGAGTATTGTTTGTCATCATGAGAGCTAAATCGGCAAATTTTAAATCTTGTTGGAAAAAGAAGGATGGTTCATCCATTTTGTTGGCAGATGAAACCTGGAAACCCTCCTTGAGCACAACAGCTAGTGAAGGCTCTGGAATTAATATAAAATGATAGCAAAGAAAGAGTGGGATATGTTGGTGTATGCCCATAATTAAAACTTGTTTTTATCTGTTGGTTATCATCCAATGTTTCATCATGTTTGTGTTTCATGTACAAATAACATATGTATTAGTAACTACTTGATCCAGTGTACTTTGTCAATACAGCAAAGAGTATTTTTGTAAGTTTGATGTTTAAATCAAGATTAAACTTCTCTCCTTATTCTCTGAAGTAATCATAAAAGAAACGTTCCCTTGGTTTAAAGGCAATACGACTCATAACATACCATTTTTGGAATCACCGATTTTCTTAACGTTTGTCAGCAGTTGGTACATGAATAAAATTAGCAAAGTAAGAAAGTAATTCTCCACTGTTTCAAGTTGAATTATCTAAGAATTTCTTTCTAGGACCAATCACAGTGAAATTGAGAAGAGACGAAGACGGAAGATAAATAAGTTCATCGATGAACTGGCAGAACTTGTTCCTATTTGCAATACTTCAAACCGTAAACCTGACAAAATAACTGTTTTGAAAATGGCAGTTCAGTATGTTCGTGTTTTAGGCCGTAAGTACAGGTGTTTCTTCTTTTTAACTGGGCAGCAAAGGTTTTAATCATCATACTTTTTGCAAAATATCATGAGATTGTTAAATGTCTGCGAAGTAAGTGGGTCCTTTATAAACTAAGCAGGATAAGGTCTACGCTTGGTGTACGCCAGTTCCAGACCAATTTCGGTAGTTTCAGCCCTTTCCATTCGTGACCACGCAACTGGTTATTATGAGGGTTGAACAACAGACTTTGGCTGCACTCAAAACTTAATCAAAGTTAGAACCACAGGTTGGAGACCCACCTAGCTCCTTCTACCCATCAAAAAATTGATGAAAAAAAGAAGGGAACTTGCAGCTCTATGTCCGCCATGCTGGGCTGGACGATAGACTAACAAGTACTTTTACAATTACTCATATTCGTTCAAGGTAGACATAATGAGCCTAATAGATAATCTTGTTATTTTTCGTAAATTCTAGAAAGATTGTTTTCTGGTTTACATGTTGAATTGGCGAAAAATTGTTCACCTAAGGTCATGGTAGGCTCAACTCTAGATATGACATTTAGCAAAACTCTTATCTCTTATATTATGCTTTTGTTTGTTTCATTGCATCTTATTTCATCTTTAGACCGCGACGAACAGAGAAGTGTTCTTAGCCAACGGTTTAAGCCCTCCTACTTGAGTGAAGAAGAAATGGGCTCACTATTAGAAGATGCCGCAGATGGCTTTCTGTTTGTTGTCAGCACTGACCGTTTTCAGATACTTCATGTATCACCTACTGTTCAAAAAATCTTACCACTTAGTCCGGTTAGTAGATGATTTTTTGCTTTGCTTAACCAGGAACACGCTGATCAACTAGTTTACCTTTGCTTAAAATGATTACCCTGTTAGGTCAGGGACATATGGAGATTTGAGAATCCCAGCTGTATCAGAGGATAATTAGGCCAGCTTTTCGTGTTTAATATGCTAGTAAGGCAAGGAAAACGTACATGCATTGCATAGCAAACAACTTGTCAAAAATTGGCATGATTTGGCCCGCTTGAGAGATGGTTTTTGGGAGCAGATCTCCTGTGCATGCAAGGTTTACACGTCATCAGATCCGGACCACAATGAAACTAGATTTATCGGTCCTCTCGCGCAAAGGATCTCTTTTCCTAATCATGCCACTGATATTATTGTCATATGGCTATCCCCGTATTTATTATTGTGTATTTTCATTGGATGTACCTCCGGATAATCTCACGAATAGGTCACACAAATAGATATTTAGGTGCAAGAGAATTAAGGGATTTGTAAACCATAGAACCTGTTTCTTTATTTATCAGCGTGGAGAAAAGAGCTGCAGATGCATCAAAAGGGCTATTTGTTACTATTCTTGCGGCTTTTTTCTGTAATTTTTGAAGCATGTCTAGCTTTGAAGCACCACAAAAAGCCCCAGACGGAGCAACAGTAGCTGAAATGTGGCTCTGTGATTCTTCTATATAAATTTATCAAAGTGCCAGTTTGAACAAAATTTCGCGCATACTTCAATAGACCAATTGCTCTAGAGATCTTCTTTTGCAGCGCGCCAATGTGACTTTCCCAGGTAAGGCAATTGTCAATCACGACCCCATTGTTGCCTCAGTATCATGACCCACATGACACATTGCAGCTATCATTAATTCCATGCTTCTCCATAGGATTAAATGATTCTTTGAAAGCTCAAATTTGATTAACAGAAATGAGCTAGATCGATATTAATTCGGGTATTTAAAAGGTATGAAGTAATATATAGTCCAAATACAAAATTTATGAATATGTTCTCGGCATCACTAGATATTGTGATCTTGATTTTGATGACATCCTTGACATAAGGGTTCTCAATTAAAGCTACCGCAATATAAGTGAAAGAGTTTGACACATGTTGTCCAAATATTGATCGCTTAGCTGTCAATATTATGAGCATTTAATGTTTCAAATTATATGTGTTATAACTAATTTATTTTATGTGTTGTGTTAGTGTCTAAAGTTAAAATCGTATTACCTGAAAAATACAGTCATGATTATAGATTTTGTGTCTTTGTTCAAGAAATCGGGGTGTCGCGTTGGAATACGCGTTATTCCTTGCTGCAAGCAAGATTTACAATGGCATTGGTTTTTGCTAGCTGGATCTGTTAAAATTTCATCCTGACTGAAGTTAGTTTAATGACAAACTGTTGGCAAATTGTTGCAGGAAGAATTTTGTTTTTCGACACGACAACACTGTTCTCTTTTTTATGAATTGAGTATTTCGTCATCTTTAACCCTTGTAGCACTTAACCCCCCCCCCCCCTCTCTCTCTCCACCCTCTGAATTCCGTCAAGTAGACAATTGTATATGGACAAATCTAACTTCATTTCTCTTATTTTCAGTTTGATTTGGTTGGCAAGCGCTTTTCTGACGTCCTCCATCCAAATGATGTTGCAGTTCTTCACGAGCAGCTTACCCCCATGCAGGCTAGCAAGTCGTCTCTGTCTCCTCGGTACATATACAGTCCAGCTGACTCAACACCAAGCTCAAGCAGGACCTTCGTAACAAGTTATCGGAGAGCGTTTTTCTGTCGCATCAAGAATCACTTCCTTGACGACCATGACATGATTGATGACGACATTGCTGCAGGAAACGTTGGAAAATCTTATCAACCTGGCTCGGATGACATTAGAGACTACTCTTTGCGTAAGCAAGGCTCTAAGTTCAGTTGAATTCATTGCTTTAAGTGAGGGAATAATTAGATCTCCTAATGAGAAGTAGTATTGAGCATATCAAGGTATAAGGCACGATGCTCGTTTATGTTTTCATGATATCTGGATTTCGAAATTTCTTCCTCTTGGTATACTTTGCCTTAAAATGATTGTCATGACAAATCATAGGACAAATACCTTTTTCTAAAAGATTGAATTCTATATTGGAGAAGAGAAGAAGAGGGTTCACTGCAAAATTTTGCTTCTTAATATCAGCCATTAGCAGGGCTGGCTCTTTCACTCGGTCCAAGATGGAGTCAGTGGTCCTAATAATGCCTAAAACCATACACACTGAATTTATCGCAAGTTCTAAATGGGCCTGGGGGCTTCTATGGAAATGCTTTTAGTGAAGTTGCTTACAACATAACTAATTATTTTTTAAATTTTACCTCTCTTGTATGCCATTTTGCAGTTTATTTTGTTGGTTTTATAAAATCTTGGCAGCCGGCTGATACGCCACTGTTTTCAATGGACAGTGAAATCGACTTATCAACTTCATCATGTTTCTTTGGAATCGGCACCAAAGTGGAAGTTTTAGCTGAACAATCAAACTCGAAGTCGCTCAATATAGACAATGACCCTATACAGTTCACATATCGCTGCGCAGCCGATGGACGTTTTTTGCACGTCGATCCGAAGTAAGATTTTGAAAGATACTTGGATTTGTATGCGAAGTGCCAGAGCCACAGTGCTTAATTTGCATAGATTGAAGTGTGGAGCGGAGAAACGGAGAACCCTTAGGATGAAAATGGTCCCGCGCTTCTCCGCTCTGCACATGAATATTTCCACACTCTAATTTAGAAGGCTTTGGTAGCCAGGGTATGGACTTTGATAAGTTGTTTGCGCTGCAAATGAATGGCCTTATAAAGGGGTTAACAGAGGCTACAAGGGGCTGCAAGTTTTCAGACAATAATGGACTTCCCTTTTTATGTTATCAATGTTTATCAGAAAGGTTTTATCCGAGATTCTCGTGTTTTATGGAAATATCAGGAAATGATTGGAACTGTAAAACATGTGCTCACGTTATTATGTATGTTGCTCTACTCTTTTAAGATTACCTATCCTGAATTTTCTAATTAACTCCTTCTTAAAGTCCTAGCGCATCCAGTAATGGATTGCTGACAAGAATAGCGTTCCTTCTCTCAGCGGAAATAAGCGGATGGGTAAATTTGAAGGGGGGGGGGGGGGCTGAAACAGCAAAGGCAGGACCGCTTAAAGGTTTGCGAGGCTCTAGGCAAAGTTTAAGGTCCTTGCAAACAAAGGGAGAGACAAATTGAAAGTTCGAGGAAATGACCAAGTGCCTTTTGGACTAGCTAAAAAGAGAGATGAAGCCATTTTAGGGTTGTTGAAAATATGTAAATGTCAGGCTTATGAGAAAAATGAAATGGTCGTAATGGTCTTACGTTAGGCACCCGGATTTATTAACTATTTTGCTTTAAGCAAATTATTTTTAAGTAAGTAATAAAGATTTTATCTTCATAGAATGGTTCACGTATTTGGGCACGTGCCCCAGGAGCTCATGAAACAGAGGTTTTACAGCTACATAGCTGTAGAGGACAGAGAGACTATAAAGGCCTTCATGGAGGATCTTATTCGTAGGAAAACGTCAGAAATGGCTGTAACTGATGTGTATCATATAGTGGCGCGAAATGGCAGCCTCGTTCCGGTTATTAGCGCAATGCTTTGCTTCTACAACCCTGTGACAAAGAACCTCGAGTACATTGTGGTGCAATCATGTGTCGATTTGTATGTTGTTGATTTGTTATTTGCCTTTTACTTTCCGTTGCCATCTAAAGTAAACCGGATCCAAGTGGATTTTTGCTCGAACAAGGACACAATGTAGACCTCTTGTTTCCGCTTGACCAGGTGAAGTCGTCCGGGTCTGATGTTCATACTTTCAAGTATTCCACGTCCAAGGTGATAAGTTTGTATCCGTTTCCTCACAAATCCAGTTCGAATAGGACAATTTTTGCCAGGTAATCAGGGGTTTGGAAATTCGGTGTTCAAGCATATATGAGCTGGATCCATAAACATACGGGGGGGGAGGGGGCACATGGCCACCTGCCCCTTTCCAGAAGCAGATAAAGTACCTACTCGCATCTCATTGAGATGCCTTCTTTTGCATTTGTGTGCCCCCACCCACTTTTGAAATGCTTGAATAAGTCTACGCCTTAATACTTTCTGTAGTGCGATTCCAACTGGGTGCGTTTCCCCCAGAACTGTCAAACTGATCCTTATCAGCTAAACTGACAGCATCAACAAGTTTTCACCAGTATTAAAATGGAAATTTATTTGTGTCTTTCCTTTACCGTTCGGTTTTCTTTCCTAGCTATTCATAATAAATTTTAATGTCGCATTACTTTTCTCTACTTTAGACAAATTGACCGATCCCCTGCGCTGGAGCAAAGCTTTGAGGTATACAGTTCCCGTGAAATCCCAGTCTCAAAACCATAGCGAGGCCATTCAGTTTCCGCGAGAATCAGTATTCGACACCAATGTGATGATTCCCGCATCTTTGCTGATTTTAATTTGAGGTGATTGAAACAAAGAGCCATACATGGCATGTGGCTGTGTTGGACTTATCGTTAAACGAAAAAAAACTGTTTAAAAAAGAAGTTTGTCAATCTGATTGCTTTGCCTACTACATCGTAAAAGAGCTTGAAGCTAAGGCACACGAATTTCATAAAGGAAGTAATTCCATAAGATGGCACTCTAGAAAAACTATTTCTCGCAATTCGTCGTGGAAAGAAGTATAACTGACTGAATCTTGCCATAATTCAGGGAAGATACAGCTGAAAGTTCAGCACATCGAAGAACCATTTTTTGATCATCTCATTTGAAATTTTTTCTTTATTTTTTTAGTCGAGGTGCAGTATTTTGTGAGCAAATATTATAGTCACAGATTATTATTTGTATATAGTTATTTAGAGTACCTCAAAATAAAAACGAAATTGTGTAAAGTTTCCGAAATTAACCTCTAGCTCCTGAGTTAAAGAGAACTAATTACGTTAAGATGCTGAATTGTATATTTATCTGTGGATCATCCATTTTCTTGCCAAAAATTTTTTGTTTCGGCTGCAACTCCTTGTTACTTTGAATATTGTCGCTAAAAGGCTCCAATATGAACTGATTTTAATAACATTTTATATATAAGTTATTAAAGATTTGTTCTTGCATAATGTTATACGGTCAATCGCAACATAACCCCAAATCTTCTCCTCCTTTAAACGAAATGGGTGTTTTTTATTCTGGCGGACGCGAAAACAGGGGCGTCACACCCCTCCCCTCCCCTCCCCCCCAAATTTTGTTCGTCAGCACATGAAGGATTTCTGCAGGGCAAAAGATGGAATTTTTGTACTCACTCTGTAACCTTTTGCAACAATTGTGACATATTAACATTTCTGTGTAGTTGAACTTTTAAATGAATGGCGCTAGAGTATAAACTTTGAAACAGAAACACATAAAAGTAGCCTGTCAGAGTATCTATTATTTGACCACACCCTTAAAGAGTGAGACACGCCCTTTCTGTCGGCAAAAATCAGTCCTTCACTTCTTCAAACAATTTTACTAACTCCGCCCCTGCGCGAAAACATAACACATAAAGCTAATACCATAGAGATATGGCTAAAACCCTTTCTTCCGACACTCCTCAAAGTATAAAACGTGAGATAAAACTTTGAAATGACAAAATTCTGTAGAATCTTTTGCTAGTGGCTAGCTTTGCCTTGTAGTAATAAAACCCTGCTTAACTTATTTCTGTCGTTTCTAGCCCTGTTTCTGCCAGGCAGGTCTTTAAGTCTCGTTTTCCTGAATGTATATAAATACAAAGCATGACATGTTTGGGTGAGTTTAAAGCAGACCTCTCTCTCGATAATCGTCCAGAAGAGGCAGAACGTCGAAACAAATTTAGGCCTCCTCCCGTTGATTTTATAGACCCCGGTTAGTTTAACAAATAAAGCAGAAATGAGGATCTTTTTGCTTGACAAATTTAAGATAGAAATTATTTTAATTACTGTTTGAGTGTCGAGATACCTCTAGAATACCTTGGCGTAGTGGTAATTTCTTTTTTCAACGACAAGCGAGCTGCTGGAAACTGCAGATACGATTATCCATTGCATTTATGTGTACAGTAAAGTGACGAAGAGTTTTGTGTACAATGTTTGTATGTATGTTCTAAAGTGCGTAAATTGTTAATTTCTCTCATTTCAAGAATATCTATCAATTTTGCTAAATGGCATTATCTCTTTGTGGAGTTGAAAGTCCCCAGAATTTGCAGTTAGACACTAATAGGGAGCTAGCAAAGAGAAGCAGAGGGTGGTAATGGCATCTATAACCCTTTTTTGTAAGAACCAGTAAAGTTATTTTCAGGCTGACTGTTCTTAATTTTTTCGAAAATCTGAGGCTGGATTGTTCTTAATTTGTTCTTAACTTAAGAGGGTGTAAGCAGTTCTATTGCTAGCTTTCTCGCTCTAAGGAGGTGTTCAGGCCTCATTTGCCAACAAAGTGAGTGAGACAGCCTTCATTTGCCGAGAGGTTTGAATATTCGCCGAAAAAGCACCTCTCGATGACAGAAAAATCCTCGTTTTAGATGGAATTCCCCCTCCCCCTAGAGCACACTAGCTAGCAACTGCACTGCTTTTGCCCTAATAATTTTAGAACTAATCTTAGCCAGCCTGAAATTCAATTTACTGGTTCTTATCTAAAAAGAGAATGTATTACTTGTCAGCTTTCTGTAATAAACACACAACCTCTGTCTAGTAATGGGCGATTGGAAGCGTGGTTGGAGAACCTGTGACAGTGGCGGAAATTCAGGCTTTCATTCGGGGGAAGGGGCAGCCTTACGATTTTCCGACAAGATAACATTTTGGATCATGTATAAATTTTAAAGAAATTGCAAATTTTGATAAAAATAGATGATTTTATGACGGGACCCTTTAGAAATCTTTTCTGGCAACACCATAGTTAAGTAGCAAGAAGAGCAATCCATTTATGATTTTTGATATCAAGATTGATATCTCATCACCAATTATACTTTTGACAAGTCGTACGCTCATTTTCTGCATTTTGTTTTGTTTTCGTTAGTGGGAAATACGTTTGAAAATAACTTTTTCCAACGTATTTAACGTATAACGTTGGAAATTTCGGCTAATCTTTACTTGAAATTGAATATAATGTTAATTTTGTTTAAGTAGTTCTGGGTGTTATATTTAGACTTTAGCTCTAGATTAGATTCTCAATGTAAATTTTTTAGATAAAATAACTTAGAAGTAGATGCAGGTCCACATCAGCCCTTGTGCTGCCTATTTTAGCAACCTGTTCCGTTTACGCCCCTTAGATTAGCTTAAAATTCCCTTTCAGAACGCTTTCTTGGAGTATTTTCGACTTATCCGACGAAAGCCCGGATTTTCCGATGACCTCACTGATTGGGGCAGGGGGGCGAGCCCCCCAAAAACCCCATAATTTCCGCCACTGACCTGTGATGATTTATTAATTTTTGTGATACACATGCATGACTCTTAGGTTTGTTTTATTGATGATATAGTCTTTCGAGGAACAGTTGTGTTAGTGAGAGGTTTCAGATAGTTGAATTAGCAAACAGTTGATATATTAATTTGGCTTAACCACCAAGGAAGTGTTTATGATCGCTTGCAGACAAGCGGAAAAAATCGCCAGTAGGGACTTGTTGTTCACACTGGTGGGTTTAGGATACCCACCATTTCAAATAAAATTGATCAGGATGTATCTATGACACTTCTTTTCAGCAATTTAAGCGTCAGTTTTTATCTTTATCGGCAACATTATAATCATGATCAATATTATAATCATATTGTTATTATTATTATTATTATTATTATTTTTCGATAGATATCTTGGCTAAAATGGCCCATTTCTAATGCTGCAATCATAATAATCTTCATGTCATCACCAGCACATTTATCATAATCATAATCATAATTTTTATTGCTTTTTGACTCTGGACAAACGTTAGATGCCCCACTAGACATTTCAGAGCAAAATGTTTTATTGAATAAACCAAATGAGGGTGCTGTATTTTCTCTATTGTCTATTTGCTATTTCGCATATGAAAAAAAGCAGTTGATCATCGATTCATTGATTTCAGAAGGGTGGTGTTAAGTGTTATAAAAGGAAGAGTTCGTGGTCACCTAACTTGTAAAGTATGTTTTATTTCTCGGAATTACCAACTCTGTAAAAAATCGTAGCAACTGTTTCCGGCTTACTAACAATAAGATATTTCCCTAGGTTTCTGTTAGAAGAATTGTTTAAAATGGAGTAAAATTTTTGCTATAGAATAGTTTAAGTATTTGCAACGATTTATGTTAAAGGCAGCTTGTCTTGATCATTATTGCCTTAATCAAATCTCACAAATTATGAATTAAATTTCTCTATTGTGAAAACATGGCAATGTTTTTACAGAAGCAGGGTGTCCCGGCCTTTTGGAGGTGAAATCAACGGGTGCGCTGCGAACAAGATCAAAACTCACTAGGCTTGCCGACAGTATTGTCAAAGTGTCATCTAAGCGGCAATGACGCTTCCTATTATGCCCCTGCAGCGTAAATTGATGTTGATACGAGAAATAGTTGAAAAATCGTGCTGTTGCGTTTAAATTGGACGATCAGTTGAAGCGTTAGCAAAGATAAGGCAACAATTTCTCCGTGATTTTTACAAGTCCGTGAAATCGAGTCTTGTGCACAGCTGGGTATCGGAACAGTCGGTGGATTAAGAACAGAGAATAAGCTCGAATTGGGACAACGTGACCTAGATTGGATTCTAAATGGCCGTTGACTTATCTAGCCATCTTAACAAGTCACCAGATCGCCTACACGACGAGAACTACGAGTCTGTAACCTCAAATGGGGTCATAATCAATGCCCTCGCATCCAAACAGAAGGATACCGTGGCATCGAACTATTTCTCTCTCAACTCTTTTATGGAGCAATCGCCTGCGATTCCCGAATCACCTTTAGTCATACACAGGCACACTCCAAATAATCTAATGGTTGGTGACACTTCGAAAAGTGGGTACTTTACGTCAAACGCAAACCCGGCGAGTCCACCTTTTCAGCGAGTCGGGGTGAACGGCAGTAGTTTCATCAACTCACACAGCCCGCAGAGAACAGACTTCGAGATGAGTACCCGGCAGCAGCAGCCCGAGACGATTCTCCTTTCACACACGGGTATGTTCGACCCTACATCAGCTACGACGACCTCAAATGCATATAACCATGCTTTTGGGGTATTCGGCAGCAACGGGACAAATCTTCATTCGCCAGTGAGTCTGATGAACGGCACTGTAGAACTAAGGCAATCTTCAATGCAGTCACTGCAACCTCATCCGTTTTATAGCCATTCACAACTCACGGCTTCTCACGACCAGAACACTGTGCAAAGGTCTACTGTGTCACCTCTTCTTGGCAATCCTATGGGTTATAGAGCCTATCCACAGATCAGTGACCTGTTCCCGCCGCGAGCTGAGTTCTATGCACAACAAGCTCCGTTCGGACATCCACAGTATTGGTAAGTTTTCTTGCTTTTAATAGTTAATGTGGTTTGCTGGGTGAACGATAAGAACTCGAAGCAACTGTGTTCCTAGCAAGGCTCACTGTGGGCCTTTACTCTTTTTTCTAGCTGTTAGCAATGACCACGTGGGACGTTATTAGGACCCAACACTAAAAAATAACATCGAAAAATTATACCAGGTGACCTTAAATATGAATGTGTGAATAAAAACAGTTCAAAAATTCTTGCAAAACCACTTTATGAAATTTCCTTCTACTCAAATTTTAGCGAAACATAACATAACATGGTGTTTTTACAACAAAAAATAATGCCTGCATGGTAAATAACTGGTCAGTATAAATGTTAATTCACTGCAACCTCACGCTGGCCTACTTCTTATAAGAAAACTAATGATCTGCCGATTTTGAGCGCGCTCGAAGGGCTATGAACGGGTATTTTGAATGAGTACAAAACTTTGTCCAAAGGGTCCCAAAAAAGTCGTTTATGACATTGCACGAATTTGCATGTGAAAAGTCTCTGTCTTCAAAAGGATCATGCTCATTTTCTTTAAATGAAGATTATTAGATGTTGCCAGTTCTCATTGCAATATTTATGCTTAGGTCTCTTGGCCCTGATATGCTTGCATCTTTGCCTTGTGTTTGTTAGATACATGAATTCCCTGGATCATGTAACTCCAGTGTTGTTTATTGCTCTTAGTCATAATGCAAACTAGAGAGTAATTAACACTGAAATGACATGATCGTTGTTTGCAAACACGCTTTCCGTTTTGCTTTCCATTCGTTTGTCTGTCGCCAGTTTCTTTTCAAAGATAAAACCATTGCCAACAAAGACGAAGGACAATTTTAGGTCGAGACTTGGGTCGCGAATTATCAATTCGACAATAATTGAAGATATAAACAAGCAAGGGTCTAATGGCATCATCGGATGATTGAATATTCTACACATGGGTATATTTCTTATATACCACTTAGGTTTCACTACAATGAATGTACGTGGCGTAGACATATCATTGTGAAGGGGTACCAGAAAGGAATCGATTGTGCCGCATATCATTGAATCTTTTAATATATTAGCAGTTTGTTGTTGAAACCATCAATTGACTGCTAAATTTAAAGATATATTTATTATCGTATTAAGCGAAGAACGGGCTAGTTCTCCCTGGTCTACAGCCTAATTTAACAAAAACCATAAGCTTTTTGGGTAGGCCCTCTTTTCTTTGGAGATTTCTCGTGCAAGATAGGTTAGGTAAAATGCTGCCCTGTAAGCTTCATTGAGTATTTAAAAGTGCTGGGCTTAAATGGTGATTTTGTGATACAAATGCTACTTTTGAAATAGTATGCGTATCTCTTTTATTGTAATATAGATAGATTAATTTAATATTAGGTCTCAGAGCCTGCCCGTCTAACAAACCTCAAGTCGTGCTCTTGGTGCTTTAGTTTAAAACCTATTCGAGAATCAGCTGATGCAAAATATCAAAGGAAGTAACCTAAGTCAAGAATTGCGTCATAACCCTGTATTGTTGTACATCATTTCAATTATGAAGCACATGCTCCTCCTTTATATATATTGTTCAGAGCATCGATAGACGCAACTAGAGTTTGTACCATGTAGATGTAGTGGAACTTTGAATTTTCAGGATTGGAATTACGGTCCTAGTTTTTACTGTTTTCCATATCTTTACAGTTTTACAAGTTGTAACTGACATACCAATTTGTTTAAACATTTTCTCAATACACTCTTTATTTTATAAGAACCAGTAAATTTAATTCAGGCTGACTGTTCTTAATTGTTTCGAAAATCTGAGGCTGGATTGTTCTTAATTTGTTCTTAAATTAAAAGGATGTAAGCAGTGCGATTGCTAGCTTTTTCGCTCCAAGGAGGTGTTTTGGCCTCATTTGCCAACAAAGTAAGTGAGACAGCCTTAATTTGCTGACAAATTTGAATATTCACCGAAAAAGCACCCACACATCGCTGAAAATCCTCGATTTTGAGAAAAAACGTTGTTAAAATTGCATTTTGCAGAAGCTCAGCCTCAGCTTATTCTTGATTTGTTCTTAACTTTTGACCAGTTTTGAGGCTCATGTTCTTATAAAATTGTTCTTATAAAAAAGAGTGTAAAAGGAAATAAGTAACTTGTCATTACAGGTTACCCTTACAGATATATAAATAGAGAGAGAAATAGTACCCTGTTTGCAGGAGTTTAAACGTTTGCAAGACTTTCCCCTATTCTCTGTTTGGGGTTCTCAGTTCATGCATTGTCAAAAAGATGTAAAAGATGGCTCAAATCTTTGAGCTGCTCAATTTTAACTCAAGTGTACCAACAAGGGCACTGCTTGGTTAAATGCAAATGTCCAGCCTTTACTTACAGCTGCCTTTAGCTGAAATGTTTGCAAAGATTTGTGAAATGCGGTATTTACTCTTATATCGGCATTGCCTTAATTGCCAAAAGTCCAGAACGTCTAGTAGCGACATATTAGGATCAAGTTTGCGCAATCGATTTTCGAAGTGTAATGAACTGAGCCCATAAATCTTTCGCAATTTCATTTAAACTTTCTGTTGGTTTTTTATATGAAAAGCACCAACTTTTGACAGGAATCTTACCAAAGTATACAAAATTACTACTGGTCTTTCAAAAAGATGAGAAACTTCAGTAGTCGAAAATAATTGGAAATACTTTTTATAATCAAGGATTTAAATTCTTCAGAAGCATCCAAAATTCTTCATAGGACATAGGACCCGAATGTTAAAGATGTTTATGTTAAAATAATGAATTTTCACAGAAACAATTGGTACTGAAATTTGCTGCTAAGGATAGATAGACTGTCATCCTCACAATCGACTCTGAAATTTCAGTAATAGCTTCTGCTAGTGAACATAGATTTTTGCTACTGTTCCTGGCCAACAATACGAAGATTGCTAAATTGGAATTCGAATATTCCTTTAAAAATCATAGTCGTATGAAGTCTGTGCATATTTTGTTAGCGTAGATATATTCTATTAATCACAATCTTTGGTTTGCTTTTTTAGCCTCGGGGGTTTGAAAATACGAAAAGAAAGTTGTTTAGGTCGCGTCCTCATTATTTCAGAATGACGTTAAGAAATAGCAATACTCCATGATTCACTGGCCACTCCTTATTGATTCAAAGTTTCTGGCTTGGCAAATTTGCTTATTATTGCTTAATCATGTGTGTTCTGACAACTTTTGAACGGGAAGTATGAAGTAAGTGTGAAAATTAGCACGTGGTGCAATTGATTCTTTTTCGCAAGATGGCGACGCTGGTCTTCTTAAACTCGGAAACATCGGAAGGCTCTTACAATGGCCTTCGATACCAGGAAATTGTTTAAAGCGACTGACTTCCAGTTTTTACAAGCCCTGCCACCAAATTCTGTTTATCTTAGAACAGAAGCGCTAAGCTGATGAATGGTTTCTTTCAGGAGCCTTGGGTACTCACGCGTTTCGTGTCAATAAGCAAATATCGCCAAGATGAGCCAACGACAGTCTCCTTTGTGTCTCTCAATTACAAGTGCCTAATATTTTTTTAAGTGTTTATAAAGATTTGTGGCTAGGTTGCGAAAAGGAAGTAGTTTACACCAACATTTGAGCTGTAGGGTAAATTTTGTTACTATGGAATATCCAATGCTTTGCAACGAAAATGTGGGGAACGCTAGATTTGAATTCGAGGGGCAAATCATTGCTTAAAATCACGTACGCTCTCGAGAATAATCACAATTTAATCACATTAAAAAAATCAAATTAATCACAAAGTATAACTTTAATCACAAAAATTACCTAAAAACAAACATTAGAATCTTTGACTACGTTTATCGGCATGTGTTATTGAAAAATGCAATATTTAGAATGTCCCTTTCACATTTTTCCAAACCGTTCATGAACACTCTCGAAAACATAAACAAAACAACAAGTTTTTCTAAGTACCCTGCGATGGAGCAAAAATTAAGGCCACGTTATGATGCCGGGGTCACTGAAACAACTATGGCTGTTTTTGTTGCCCAAATGCCACTGAAGTTGATCTGACCGAAAACCACACAAGATAGCAGTCATTTTTCAGTCATTTCTCGTTGATTGCTGCAGGGCGGATCAAGACAGTTCCGGCTGTTGCAGTTGCAACTGTTACATTCATGAGAAATGATTATACCAGATTCTTGTTACTCCCCCAAATAAAGTTTGATAATCAAGTTCCATAATTCCGGAACCTGTAATTTTTTCTATCGGTGAAAGTTTCAGGAATGACAGTTTCATTTTCCAATAGCGATATTACTTGCGAGGGGCAGAGAACAGAGCACATGTATTTGCCTACAAGGTGCTATTCACTTTTTTTTCATTTCAGGCTATTTGCGTCAATGTTATTAATGCTATTGTTCAGGAAAGATTTAAGCTTTTTGATGCATATTCAAATTCAGATAAAGAGCATAGAGAGCCCACACAACAGAAAACATGCATTTGCCTTAATGTCTTTTGCAAGGTGTTCAAGAACTGTTCAATGTTTTTCATCCCAGGCTAATTGCATACATGTTACTAACGCTACTGTATAAAAAAAACCGCTCTTTTGATGCAAATTAAATTTCTTATGACGAAAGTAGATGGCTCACACAACAGAAAACATGCATTTGTCTTAATGTCTTTTAAAAAGGGTTCAACACCTGTTCAATGTTTTTCATTTCAGGCTATTTGCATCCATGTTGCTAATGCATTTATGTTCAGGAAAGATAGCTCTTTTGATGCAAATTCAATTTATCACTTAAAAAAATTAATCACTTTTATCATTAAAAATCAAATTAATCACACACAAATTGATTTAATCGCAAATTAATCACTAGTGATTATTAATCTCGTACACCGTTTTCAAGAGTAATTTGCCCCTCGGAATGGCACAGCTCGAAGGGCTAGTCACTCCATAAATGAATTGCCCCTCAGCTCAAATCAATCGAATTTCAATGAAATCCATGTACGTATTTATGCTTTTGGTGCAATATTACGGCTTGTCAGAAAGGGGAGTTTTCCTATACTAAATTCCAATATCAAAACGATATTGCAAGTATTAATTGCCTGTCAATTTTTTCATGAAATTTCCATTATGTGTCAGTTCCCCTATCTTGTTGGGAAGGAAGGCCGACACACCACTGCCCCTTTTGCCCGGCCCCACCATATGTAACGGAACGGCACCAAAGGCCGATGAATAGGTAAGAAGTAGGAATGACGCGAGAGGGCAACTCACTCTTTCAAACAGCGTGCAAGATTTCGAAGAAAACAAAAGGATTTCCAAGGATTTTCACATAAGCAATTTGATTTCGACCAAAGGTGTACGAGATTTTCATAGAGTGATTTCCCCCTCGATGCAGTGCATCTACGCAGTGCATCTTTAAAAAACCTGAGAACATTTCTAAACTTCCCACCAAAGTCAATCAAACTGCCCAAGTATTTGATGAAATGCCATTTTGTTTCTTGGTACTTGGGCTTTCCCGATTTTGAACATTAAACCAAAGCTCGCATATACTTAAAAAGTCAGAGAAAATTCAAGCCATGGCTATTACAACATATTGATAGTTAGTGAAATTTGTAGGGATGTTACCCCTCGACAGAAATGGTCCATTGGTGACTGTTTCTGTTCTATAAAGGGCATTGGCCCCAATGGCGTTGTCATGGCTACACCTCTCATCCTTTACTCCGCCGCAGCTTGTATTGCTGCTGCTTCTGAATTTCAATGAATGCTGCCACATTTTTAATGCAGAAATTTCATTTCAGGTACATGCGACAGCCAATGAACCAGGTTCTAACGTGTTTATGGCTAGACCAGCAACCGTTTCCTAAAACAAAACCTTGTGGAAAGCAATTTACAGTCATGCAAGATATTGTTAGACATTTAAACGACGAGCATGTTAGCAGATTGGATAACAACGAGTATGTATGCTACTGGCAGAACTGCACGCGAAGTCTGCTGCCTTTCAAAGCAAAGTATAAGCTGGTAAGGCCTGTTTATTTCATTGCTTCAACAACAGCAAGTAGTAGCAAATTCAGATCTGGAGTCCCTCAGGGGTCTTTCCATGGTCCAATATTTTTCACGTATATTCTTTTTTACAAGAGAAATTCTCCGATAAAACAAGCCCCTTTACGAGTTAAATGTTAAGAACCAATAACATACAAGCTAAGGCTGTTCAGATGGCACACAGAAGTACTCATATGTTCATGCAGTGGTGGATTTAAGGGGGGGGGGACAACTAGGGGCAGTTGCCCCTCCCTCGACGTACTCTCGTCACCAATTTTTGAAAATTTTTCAGCGCCCCCACTATCAACTGCCCCTCCTCTAAGTTTGCTCTGGATCCGCCCCTGTGTTCATGCTATCAACGGTGGTGAAGTGCAGATGATAAAAACTGATAGCATTATTGGCCTAAATTCAAACTTTATCGATGTATCTTTAAGACAGGTTACATCTTTGAAGACTGAGGGTGCTTTTTGTTAATGTCATGATAAGCAATACCAGCATTGTTAACACCACATTCAGTGTTGTGATGCAGTTTGATATTATCTTTCTACAGAATTTCTTTACCTTACATTCTAACAATTAAAACAAAACAAGAACAGTTCAGTCTCAAAGATTTTCAGGAACTAAAAACAGCTGGTGTGATGGCAATTTTACTGGTTCTCATAAGAATGAATGTACAGAAAATATTCTTAGAGATGATATAAGATATGAAAAGCCTTTCTGGATGACGGCAGTTTGATTTGCTGTTCATTTGGTTAAAAATGTTTCAGTTTGATATAATACACCTAAAATTACGGTAAACTGCAAAGATAAAAGCTTCAAATATACACTCTTTTTTATAAGAACAGTTTTATAAGAACACGAGCCTCAAAACTGGTCAAAAGTTAAGAACAAATCAAGAACAAGCTGAGGCTGAGCTTCTGCAAAATGCAATTTTGAACAGCGTTTTTTCTCAAAATCGAGGATTTTTAGCGATGAGGTGTGGGTGCACTTTCGGTGAATATTCAAATTCGTCAGCAAATTAAGGCTGTCTCACTCACTTTGTTGGCAAATGAGGCCGGAACACCTCCTTAGAGCAAAATAGCCAGCAATCGCCCAGCTTTCACCCTCTTAATTTAAGAACAAATTAAGAACAATTTAGCCTCAGATTTTCGAAAAAATTAAGAACAGTCAGCCTGAACTTGAATTTACTGGTTCTTATATAAAAAAGAGTGTACTTCATGGCAGTGTTGTGCTATCTTAAGAAAGCCTTCTCTATAGAAAATAAACACCTCCCCTTTTACGGAGAGACATTTCTTGTTACGGTTCCGGATAGTCCCTTGTTCCGTGGTTTTGGTCTGCATTTTGTGTAAGTAGTAGTGATTCGCTGATGGCAGTAATACATTACCCTTCGACATTGCAGAGGTCAAGTGTCTTCCTGCTCGACTTTGCCTTTCAGTTCAGTTGTTTGTCAATTTAATCACAGTGAATACAAAAACTGATTTACGCTAGGCTCAGCTAAACTGCTCGTTTAGAACATCGCTACATTATTTTGTTATCAATTTGCGCATTATGTCGTTTAGTTTATTCTCGTTGTTATTTCAAACCAAATAATTATGAGATAGTGTGTTGCATAGCCAAGATATGGAAAGGGGGCGGGCGCGATGGTTCATAGTATGAATTAGCGGCATTGAAAGTCCAATGCTCTTAATTTCTTCATCAGCATCATTATTATTATTATGTCCGATTTCGCATTATTTTATTCGTACCACTCATCTCAGAAGAAACTATTGCAGGCTAATTCGTTTTCTCGAATTGTTTTTTAATCTAGCGACAAACTGTGCTTACGACGGAGGAGTTGTTTTGAAAGCAAACAAATAGCAAGGTAAATTGAGAGCAATAAATGACAGGAAACGCCCCTTGCTACAAAACAAACCGAAGGATGAATTGAATAAACAATGCTGTTTAGCAACAAATTTTCGGCCGAAATGTTTATTTTCACTGTAAAATTACAGTCTGTGTCCTTGAATTGTCACTAAACAAGCCTAATTGTCACTGAATAAGCATTCAGCTCCTTCTTTCACGCCCGCTTCGCGCCCGCTTGATATAACCCTCTTATTTAGCACTGATCTATAAAAACGACTAGATCGAGCTTCTAATGTGACCAGAGTGTCACCATCCGAGATGAGGGCCCCAGAACAGCCCATGCGAGGAGACGGCCTTTTCTGTCACCCCTAGCAATGTTATTTAGGTACCATTGGCACAATACCTTTGTTTGAATATTAAAATCCATAATGGTTGGGGTGAAAATTTTTACAACACACATAAGTGACATATGTATCGTCGTTGATTTGTGGAATTCGTACGAAGATTTGTCGACAGACGTTCTGATGTGAGGCCTAATTGAATTTTGAGCCCGCAATTGAGTGTATAGGTGACGCGACTACAGCAAAGTCAAGTTAAAATCACAGTCAATTTTCAGGTGGTTGGCCCAGCATCACGTTTGCAGATAATTTATGTTTTTGTTATGCACAAACTCTCGAGTGCAAGCTTTTAATGAAAGGAATTTACTTTATGCTGACCTCCCGAACGGTTTTTGCAACGGAATTAAATAGAGGTTATATAGATGGCTAGATGGTCGCCAAACAGAGGCTTCAAATTATGGATATAAATTAACGAGATGTTTCGTAATACTGTGATGTGGAGATCCGCAATCCTTACTTTTGACAAGTTGCTCAGCTTATAGATCCCCGAGAAGTCCCCTTTCTGGACAATACACGTTCAAGCTTTGATTTCCATAAGCAACGAAAAATTTCGCATCTCCCTCATTAAGCTTTAAAACTGACCTCCAGAGCCTCCGGCACAACCAACATGATTTTTAAGCAACAACCAATTTGTACCATATGCAACTTCGCACATTACAGTTTTTCTTCTGGTCAAAAGAGTTTTGCACAAATGATAAGTATCCTCATAAGCTCCGACACTGCGGACCAATCTAAAAGTAGATTGGGGGGAGGGGTTTGCTGAAAAGGGTGTAGCGATTTTTGTAAGGTCACGCCCTCTAGAACGCCGGAAAATGCCCCTTTTAGGAAATATTTGCTTATTTCCACTGCGTTTTTATAAACAGTCTGATTTAGAGAAGACATCAATAACTACAAAATAAGATAAAATTAGCTTGAGGATAATAAAACACCAAGCATCGTGTCATTAAACAAGATAAAACACCTAGAAAATGAACAAAAAGGATTCCCGGTCAAGGAGTACGCTACTATTTACAATCCCTTCGGCTAAACTTTCCAAAGATCCGCTAGAGTAATCTTTCTAAAACTTTTCTAGCCTGTTATTGCAAAAAAGTGAGGGGTTATAGCCCGTGCTAGCCTAATGGCTGCGCGGTGCCTGGGGGCAGTGGCAAAAGGGGTGTTAGACAGTGGAAAAATCTCTTTTGTTTGCAAAATATGGGGTCATGGCCCCGACCCTACCTCTTTCAGGGGCCCTGACCTTGGGAATAATTTAGAAATGTTCTGAAATGATTGTCCCTATGTACAGACAAGTGTGAAAGATGACTGGGGTTTTGGGTTAACTGCCCTGTTCCAGCAATATTTTTCGGAAGCTTTATTTCGAAATCTGATATTTCGGTTCTTGAAATTGGGAAAGATAAGACCGTGCGCACAAGCGTAACTTTTGACACAAATTCATGTTATGATGTTTATACAAAGATGGTTGTGTCTTTATCTTGAGACGGATACAATGCGCACAATATTTATATAACGCATTGTAATAAAACATGCTTGAGTGTGATACTTTAAGAGCAGGGGCTTACACGATGATGCTAAACTTATTGAAGCACAGGCGACAGATATATTGCTAGACATAGTCACTTCCAGTTTCTGAGAGTTTTCTCTTTCCTCGTCGTCTTCACGTATTAAATGGGCAATATAAGAAGTAAAGCTCTACTCCCATTCTTACTGCAAGCAGCCTTGACAATATCTTGCATCAAAGATTAGCTCATAATGCCTCGTAATATAGATTTGAGGAAAAGGGTGTTTGGTATTAGTGTATTAAGAACACTTTTAATGGGAAGGGCTTATGAAATAATCTTGCATTCAACGCAATCGGCTTTACATCATCGCAAAAGGTTACTTGCAAGTGTCATTAAAGAGTTTTGTTTTTCGTACTGGAACGCGCAAACAGCAAATCGAAAGGGTGTTGCCTACTCTATCATCCCTTGAAAGTATTGCGTGTTAATGAGTTTAAGCAACCTAAAGATACCCCCAAACTATCAAACGTTGTCATAAGTCTTTCAAAAGTGTTTCATGAACGTTGTACAAATACTTCCTAGCTTTTCGTGAAATTAAATTAACATGAAAGAGTTTTGCTTTCATCCGGACTATCACTAAAAAGGATTCTTGACTGAATGGCATTACCTATTGTCGGAAATTCGTCATTTGTGATTCAATCCCCCTGACGCTTGAGCGCTATGTTCAGTTGTAAAAAGCAAAAAGCTTGTACGGTTAAAGAAACAGATCGGTTAAAGAAACGAAGATAAAGCCCGTTTCAATGAATCTCTCTAATGCAGGCCTCATAGATTTATATTTGATTAATGGGGAAAAAAGTGTTTTTATCTTGAATCAAGACATTGCAGTCTCTGATTGAAAACCCTAGAATACGTAAAACGTTTCTGGAAATAATCAACGCCTGTTAATTAAATCTTTCAAAGGAAAACATTTTAAAAATGTCATGGATTTGCATCTTAGAATGACTTCCTCTTATGATGCTTGTTTGTTTTTAGGTGAATCATATTCGAGTTCACACTGGAGAAAAACCTTTTCCTTGTCCGTTTCCTGGTTGTGGAAAGCTGTTTGCTAGAAGTGAAAATCTAAAAATACACAAAAGGACGCATACAGGTACCGTTATTAGAAATAATTTGATTTAATTGATAACAGTTTAAAATGTCAATTATTAATGCATTCATCGTTAGGCCATGTTGACTTTTTTATCTTGCTTTTGGTCAAGGTGAAATTTGTCTTGTTTTCTGGGTAGATTGAAGTTGTTGTTGTTGCTGTAAGTGTTGCTGCTGTTGTTGTTGATCATTATTTTGACAGTAATGACTATAGTGATTCTGATCATATAGAATCGCACTTTTCGATTTTTCCATCATTATAAAGACGGGATTGCGATTAAAATGTTACTGATAGTGATGATCTGTTTGATCACAGCGTTGATTTTCACGATAAGTAAATTGACATATCTCAACCTCTTGACAACGGTTGAGAGAATGTGATGTATAGCAGAATGGCTGAATACACCATCGAATATTTGCATGCAAACTGGCACCTTTCTGCACTCACCGCCAAAAGATTTATTTCCAAAGTGACATGTTTAGTGTTTCCTTATAAAATCCTACTATAATAGGTGCATGCCAATGTACTTAATGCCTCAATCTGAAAATTGGTAAACTCATGCTGGCATTTTGAGATTTTGAGTGAGTGATTTTTGAAAATTACTTGGTTCTCACATTTAGTTTGCAATTAAGGTTGGCGGCAAGTGAACATTAAAGAAACTGAAGCGGATACATAGCTTGATATCTAGTAATTACTTTATAATCTTTCTTGTTGACCCTGGCGCCCAGCACGACCCACAACATGCCCCCTGGAGTATCACAGAATGATTTACCGGGTGAAAGGAAAACTCACCTCATCCAGTCAAATGTCGATCAGTTTTTATAAAGCCCTTGCAAAACGACGAATAAACATTTCACTAAACTTTTCACTCATATTTTGTTTAGTGAAGTTGAACGAAGTTTAGCGAGGGTAGCAAAACGTGACTAAACTTTTCACTAAACTTCACTCAACTTTTTTGAATTGCGAGCTGTCTATGCACTGTTGGCTTGTAGGAAATCTTTCATAGGAATTTGCTTTTGGTTTATTTTGTTGCATGCACAAGCAGTGGCAGAAAATAAGAATCGGATGAAGCGACGGGGAAAGAAAAGACTTTTTAGATCATTGACAACTAAGTTGACTGTTGAAGAAGACACAGTGGCGTACAACGAGATACGCAGATGTCTCATAAAGGCTTTTTTGGTCCCGTAGAGACAGGAAACCCAACTAAAACAGACGAAAACCTTTGGATTTCTACAGCTAGAGCGCCTGCGCGATCACAACAAATAATTAATTGGTGGCAAAACGACTAAACATTTGCTAGACAACACCAAACAACATTTTTGACCAGATCAAACTTTGCTCAACTAAACACAGCACGACTAAACAACACTTAACAGGGTGACAAAACGACGAAACTTTTCACTCAACTTTTGGCTAAACAAATGTTTAGTCGTTTTGCCAGGGCTTTAGGGTTGTTTCAACTTGTTGGGTCTGATTCATTGTTTCAATGTTGGCACAGACTGTTTTTTTTTGAAAAATAAGCTCACGAAAGAAAATCAGTTTTCTTAATCAGTTTACTAGTGGTTTATTGAAGGTTATTTTAAATGCCAAATGCTAGAGAGCTACTTTTTAGGAACACAAATGGTAATAATACAAGATGAGTAAAAAGAGGGTCACCTTATCGGTTGCAATCCGTTATTCTTTCTGTTATCTTTGTCAATTGAACTGGGAATAGATCCCTTATCGTTTAAAAGTAGCATTTTCATCTGATTTTTAACAGAGTAATTAGAAACTGTTCAATTTCTAATACAGGAGTAGGTTTTTTGAGAAAGTTTTACGCTGGATTAACAGGAACTGCACTGTTACCAGTGATAGTGATACTCCGCAATACTATCAGGATTGTTGGTCAAGAACTATGGCAGGCTCTGCCAAGAGAAATCAGAGTCCCAATCATTAGCGAGTTTTGAAATAAACATTAAGTCTATCCAAACTTTTGACTGCAGCTGAAAATTGTATAAATTTTTTCATTTCAAATTTAGGCTTTTTGAAGTCATTTAGTATAGTTGGCCTTAGTTAGCTTGACGCTATTGTCTCTGCAAACTTTTAATAAATTGTTTATTATTTTCATCTTAATTATAACATTATTATTTTACCCCAAGATTGTAAATCTCGACATCAAAAATTCTTTGCAGAGTTCACTCTCTTTTACTGTTTCAATTTTGCAGGGGAGAAGCCGTTTCCTTGTGAGTTTCCAGGCTGTGACCGGCGTTTTGCCAATTCAAGCGACAGAAAGAAACACATGCATGTGCACACTTCGGATAAGCCCTACAACTGTCATATAAGAGGCTGTAATAAAAGTTATACGCACCCTAGTTCTCTACGTAAACACATGAAACTACATGGCATTTCACCATCACCTTCTGGATCTGAGGAAGAAGAAGTTGAGAGCGTAGAATCGTCACCGGTCCACCCGGCAAACCAGAAAGAAAAATCAGGTTAGTCGAATCAAATTTTCAGGACACTTGCCGGAAAAAGAGTTGTTTTGTCATCTACACTTGTTACCTCGGAGAGTTTAGATTCTATATTGTGGTTACTTGAAGCAATAATTCTTTGAGCACAATTGGGAGGGGAGAGGTATGGGCTGCCTTAAAGGTTTGGGCAATCGAGAAAAAAGAATCTAGAATGTCACCCAAATTCTTCGGATTTTAATTCAGGTGTCAGTTTGTCTTTCAAACGATAGAATTTGAAATCACGGGTATCCGTTGTTGAGGGTACTTGTGATTTCCTTTTTTCTCTCTATTTTCTAATTTTAAAAGGGTTTTATAGATTTATAATTTTCAGTTCCTAGGTTTTCGTTACTTATTATTTACCGATCACATCGTTTAACAGACGTTTTCACACTGGACAGGCAAAGGTTTTGGCAGCCTAAGATCACAAACTTTCCGTATAACGAGGTCATTTAGAATGGTTTTTGGGAAGCAGATACGGGATGTAATCTTCTGATTGTTGTGTGTTTCAGAGAAGTCAATAAAGTGCTCATTAAGATTTCTGACTGAGACTAAATATTCTTCAGCTCAACTGAGCCCCCTTTTAAACACAGGTTGGTTATGAATAACTCTATTCCCACATGTGCGTGTAAATAAAGTACAACCTTTACATTAACACAACACTGATCTGTAAAGAAAAGGGTCCAAACGATTTCTGTTGGGTTCATATAGAAAGTGTGAATAACTTCTCAATTTCTTTCCTCTTTTCAGTTAACGCAGGCATTGAGAAGGGGCAAGAGCACAACAACAACAACAACAACATCGATAGCATGACAATCAAAGAAGAAGAACACGACACAGATTCCGATTTGGACATACAATCGAGTTTAGGAACTCAGTCAAGAAGCATTTCTTCTTGGTACCCCTGTGAAGGACAAATTTAGGATGGAAGGAATTAATTAGCGCGAAAATAACACTTATTGGAATTCTTAATGCAAATCTTAACGCAAGGGTATATAGATGGCGTTTTCCTATTTTTCGGATATTTTGACATTTTTACAGTGGCAAAGAAGGCGTCAGTGTCTTATTTAAGGTATATAGAGTTCCAAGATACACTGGCGTGACAATAACCGACATTTCTGTGGAATTTAGTAACTAGAAAATAATCGGTTTAATTATATATCTATGCGGCAAAGAGGCGTGATTTCATAATCAAAGGAAAAATGTCAACTGAGACTCGTCCAAGAGAAACATTTCGAAATGTCGTTGTTGTAGCCAGAAGAGCTTTCTTGTGCCTGGTCCAATTGTAAATACGGTTCGCATAGAGTACAGTTAGCTAATCTCGATTAAAAGAATATATACACCTTTGTAAATATATGGTATACAGAATTTATCCTTAAGTTACGTTTCTTAATTTATGACACTTCTACTTGCTATACATATAATCTAGTAAGAAATGTGTAAATAGTAAACAATGCTGGGTTTACTTTATAGTTTTATTATGTTGGCCTTGACAGAGAAATCAACCTTTCTTCTATCTGGTCTTTGCACAATGAGAAGATGGAAAGGAATCCTTAAACAGTGAAATGCTGAATCAATATTGGGGTTGATTACCCAAATTTGTTTTGGTACTGGGTAGTCTGCTGTCCACTGCCAACCCCGGAATTCAAATAGGCTGTATATATTCTTCGTTCCAAGGAAGATGGAAGAAGGCCTGTAGGCCTGTTTACGTCAATAAAAATGTGTACAGGAATTCTGCGAAATGTAGTTCCTACAATAGTTTCACTTGTTGTTTTTCTTAGTGCATTTCAAAACTCAATGCAAAAAATCGAGCGCCAATCTCTAGTGCTCTAGAAGGAAAGCAGAGAATTGCTTGACCCCCTTATGACTTTTATCATTTCTTCTTTATATCCAAGATTCCTATTAAGGTTCACAAAGTTATTTTAAAGAAATCAATTTTCATTTACACACTAGAATCTTAGGCTCACTTGAATCAATTTGGGAATATATCTAAATATATATTATAGAGAATTTGTAAACAGCTATGAATCTTTATCAATTGGGTTAGGACTTTACACTCAGCTTTGACACACATTTAGAATGTTTTTATCTTACATCTCATTTTGATACACAACGTATTTATAAGAACAAGATGTTCAGTTTTGTTACTGTGTACTTTGTAACTTTTTCGTTAATTAAACTTCTGACGATGTAAAATTGCTATAATATGAGTATATAAAGAGAAATGATTTAGAGGCTGTTGTGAAATCAAAAGAGACTTAAATATGTATAAATATTGATTTTTTCTTGTCAAAGCCCAATATATCACATAGGTCAAAATTCTCAACCAGGTATCGAACGTGGCATATTATATTTATAATAAAGCGTACTTGATTCATTAGCGTTCAAATATCTTTGCTGTTCCTTTTAAAGCAGCTAGACAGGAGTTCCTTGTATTGCTGTTCAACTTCAGTAGCTGGTTTTTGTATATGAAACAAGCAACGAATTTTTAACGTATTTTTCGTTGGAAATGCTTTATCCAAAATATGCCCGGAGGCAATTGTATAGTGCTATCATGATAACAAGGGAAAGGCTCTTGTTGCTAAAACATTGATAAGAACTGCAGAAAAAGTAGAATTTGGCCATACAAAACAAATCTAAAGTTGGCCACTTGTTTTTTTCTATAGATCAAATTCTTTAGTTCGAGAAGAGTCGGCGCAAAGTTGGTTTCTGATATCAATGATTGCCGCTGCTCCTAGCTACATTTTTTCTATAAGAACAATTTTATAAGAACACGAGCCTCAAAACTGGTCAAAAATTAAGAAAAAATTAAGAACAAGCTGAGGCTGAGCTTCTGCAAAGTGCAATTTTGAACAGCGTTTTTTCAGCGATTTTTGGGTGCTTTTTCGGTGAATATTCAAATTTGTCAGCAAATTAAGGCTGTCTCACTCACTTTGTTGGCAAATGAGGCCTGAACACCAGCCTAGAGCGAAAAAGCTAGCACTCTCACTGCTTACACCCTATTAGATTAAGAGAAAATTAAGAACAATCCAGCCTCAGATTTTCGAAAAAATCGAGAACAGTCAGCCTGAACTTAAATTTACTGGTCCTTATAAAAAAGGGTGTAACGGAACAAATAATCCACAATACAGAATACAAGTTTCTACGTCCATGTCCTTCAATCCATGTCAATTTCCCTTTTTTACATTATAATGAGCAAGAAAATCTAGCAACGATCAAAGGACTCTCCATAATCTGTTGATTCCACCAAGGGGCACAGCTTCCCCAAGAAACACGGTAGCAGCATGTAGCTTGGACTTTTCCCTTGCAACCAAGAAAGTTCTGGAAAGTCCAACAACAGAGGCGTTCGGAAAATTTTTGGGGGGGTCCCGGGGGTCCCTTCCAGTCCCAGTGATATTTCTTTGCTAGACAGCTATATTATTGACCTTTTTTCCTAATCAGCAAAGGCCAACCCCACATCCGTCAAGTTGAAGTCACCTGTAAAAGACTGTTTGACGGTATGGAAAAGCATTTTTGAATTATAGAAAAGGGTTCATTTGTATAATGACGGTCACATTTTCAAAATCCCTAAGGAATCTTGATACTTAAATTTCTTTTGAAGTCGGTATAGTCTATGGTTGTTGTTTGGAGTTTTTTTAGATCATTTGCTTATTTGGTATTGTGAGCTCGAGTTTGAGGCCAATGAGTTTTTTAATGGGCGGTGCTCTATCTATGAGACGCTGTGCAGGCGCATGGAATGAAACGCCGAGCTCCATCCAAACACGGATGGTACATGATTTGTCAAGTGTACTTCTTTCTGGGAAATAATTGACTGGATTTGCATGGGAAAAAGATAAATTGCGTACACTCAGATTGTTTTTCATGTAACTCTTTGCTTTTGTTACGGCTAAACTTCTAACAGATCGTGATTTGCCGTGAAGAAGTGTCCGTGATTTGAGTTATGCGCTACAGCTAAATAGGCCCTTTGTTGGAATGGGGAGAGAGCAGGAACTTAGAGATGCAGCTAAAGATGGAAATGTTCCCAAGCTGGAAAGCTTGTTGGCTGCAAAGAAAGGCTCTATTATGTCAAGGTATAATAGTTACAAAACTTTATCATGTTAATGTGTTGTTTTTACGTCTTTCGTAAATGCAAATCTCATGTTTTATGGTTCCCATCATGGAGGAAGCCTAATAAGCTGGCTAGACTATAAGGAAGGCATACCTACGAACAGAACAAGTCAGTGAAATTTGAAAGAAAACCAATGATATGCACTCTCGTGCCTTGTCATTATTTTTCATTATTTCCAAGACTTTTTATGTTGTTGGTGGAAGCCGCTCAACACTCGCTTGTAGTTTGGAATTTGACGTTTGAATTTCCCGTCACCTTTTGAAAGTTACATTTTGTTTTGATTGTCAGTATGGCCAGTTTTACCCCTGGTTTGTAATCCGATATATAAAATGTCTAACGTCCGGGTATGGTTGTAATGATCCTGCAAAAGGTTATTGCTTGATAGTGACAGTCCAGTGCCAGTATTCTTTCCCAAAATAATTCTGTCATATCAATTACCAAAGATTATAGTATTTAGTATTTGCCTCCATGTAACTGGTTTTCTCAAGCTGTATTTAAGCGTTAGCAGATAATTGTGGTTCTGACTTGCCTTACAGATTTCTGATATTGTCATAAGTGTCATACTTGAGTCACTATAATCACCATATGTCATGTTGTATCAACACAACTGCTCATATCTTGTTTAATAATCAATCTAAGGATCTTATTACTGATCAAGTCCTGTGAATTGCTTGACAAAAATCATTCCCATACAAGAGCAAAGGTCACCTTCCTCTAATTGATGAAATTTCTACCAACAAAATAGCCCACTTTTGTTGTTTGTTTTTTATTTTGTAAGATACCCTTAGCACAATGGTGCAGTTAAGCCTCTATTTGCAAGCATCCCAAGATGGTCTTGATAACTGAATGCAATCCTCTTTTGCTTACTTGTATTTACTTTGTGCTTGTTCTATAACATTTCTATCACAAAAAGTTTTCTGTTTTCTTTCAAGTTTAATGATTTCTACAGGCCTGGCCGTAAGACTTTTAACAGGGGAGCAGTAAACAGCTCTCCTAGAAGTATTCAGGTGAGCTATAAGAATAGAAACAAAGGAAAAATTGATTTCAAGGAGAGCAAATTTGCTTTTTAGAACAATTTAGGAGAGCAATCTCTAGCTCCCCTCCAGTGTTTGGGGAGAGCCTGGAGGGGAGCAAGAGCTATGGCTCTCCTCAAATGGCCAGGCCTGATTCGTATATCGGAAAGAAAAATTTAAAATCAAACATGTTTCAAGTATAAGACATCATAAATTCCTTTATAAACAATCAAAAATCACTTTTTTTGAAAAATGCCACACTTTCTGTGGCTTAAAAAATTTTGATTTGCAAGATGTAGAGCAAAGATTTGGCAAATTGAATGGTAGTCTGCCTATTTGCAGACCAGAAAAGAGAAGCTATTTGAATTGGAGAAAGAGATCACCACTGCAAATTAGGCAGTTGTTAGTGTTATATCATTTTTGGGTGAAAAAATAACTGCTGCCCATCAAAAGTTACAATAACTGCTTACCATTACCTCTATTGACATTGATTTTTTGGATAGGGAAACAGCAAATTTGCCTTTAAATATAATAATGATTAATGATTCATTCATTCTAGTCTTCGAAAAGCTCTTGACATCAACTGTCAGGATGATAATGGCAACACAGCACTTCATTTAGCTGCTCTGAATGGTCAAAGGTATGTTACCATTGCTGGCTTGATATATTACATTGCTTTATTACAACAGAGGGATACCATTGCTAGCTTATTGTATTACCTTTCAATGCAGGTGACCAAATGAAAATTTGGCAAGCTGGATTTGCTTGATTGCTTTTGGTTTTTAGGAATGTCACAGTAGGATGCAAACAAGGAAATTTATTGTGAATAGATTAAGTAAAGATTGTGTTGCAGATGTTTGTTAAGTCAGTCAAGGAAATAGTTCTTCTGCATGCTTTCATTTCTCCATGTCTTCCCTTGTATAAAGCACCAAGGGAATTGAAAACATTTAAAATTGTGGTCTCCAAATTTATAGAGAGGCTGCCTCACTCTTGCTTACCAATGATGCATCTGCTAACATCCCAGAAACAAAAGGTGTGTTTCCCCTTGATAACCTTTCTATCTCTTTACATGACTTATCACAATCCATTTTTGCCCTTTGTTGTGTTTACCAACTTAATTGATCTGTGAAAAATGCCCAATAAATAACTTGTTTTTACTTAAGCTTTTTTTATAAAAACCATAAACAAATCACTAATTCTTTTTCCCTTTTAAATTTCCTTCCTTAAATTGAATTTTCTGTTTGAAAAAGATATGCAAAAGTAGCCTTGAGCTGGCTAGTTCACTTCAGTGATTTATTTATCTGGGTGGTTAAATTTTTTATGTAATTGCTCAAAGTATGTAATATGCCTTTTGTTATATTTTGAAATTGGTTGAAGGAACTGTCTTAGAGTTGATTTAATGTATAATTATAAACATGTTTTGCTTTTTTAGGAAACTACCCACTTCATTTAGCTGCTTTTAATGGCCACCACGAGGTTGCTGACATTCTCTTAAACCAAGGACCATCTAGAGCCGATGTTCTTCAGCAGGTAATTTCTTAATAAGTAATCTTTCAGATTTCATATGCATTTAAACTAAAATGGTTAATGTAACCCTAGAATTTACATAACTAAGTTATATCAAATGATCAAATTAAGTAACAGCTATTGTCAGTATTTGTTAAATCGACATCTGTTTCTGTGAAGGTGGCCCTTAGAGACCTCAGTGGGTCTTTAATGACACAGCATAAAACAGTTTGTGCCAGATCTTTTCAAGCATAATGAAGTCCAGTGTATCAAACAAAATTGCAATCAAAGAAGAATGATTTCCTTTAAGTTCCCTCTGAGCCCCAAAGCTATTTTTCTAGGAGTAAAGGTTTTCAGCTATGCCAGATTGCTTCTGACACTGTTGAATTGCATTTTAAAATTTATTTTATGAAAGAAACAACAATTTCTGACCTTTTTAATGTTAATGGTTTGCTTAAATCCTTACAGAACAGTGGAGAAGACACACCTCTGCACCTAGCAGCACAATATGGACACACTCAAGTTGTTCAAACACTACTCCAGGTATGCAGTTGGTTCTCTTTTGCATGAGGTGCTTACCAAATAGTAGTGCTCAATAATTATTGCCATTGATCATCACAAAAATGAGCGACTTCTCATCAATTCCATTAGGGGGCCCTGCATAGCCTGTCACACATTTTTGTGATTGGTGATTCTCCCCTTGATGACTGGAGGGGGAGGGGGGGGGGGGCGTTACATAAGACCCTTAACTATGTACAGTGGTTGTGTCTGTGCCAAATAAGGACAGACATGAGTAAGGATGTTTTTAGAAAAATTGTTTTTGTGATTTCAGTCCTCATTTGAATAATAACTGCTGTTAAGATCCGTTGTGGTTGTTTTGATGAACAAGTACTAAAACTGTTCAAAATGAAAGAACATAATTTGTTTTTATGTCCATTTTCACCTTATAATGGAACTGATTTCACAAATACATTAGACAGTTGGCTTGACTGGTTTAACATTTTGAAATTTTTGTTGAAAAATAGAATTCAGGTTACCAAACTTTCCAATTGTTTAGTGCCATGCAGATCCACACATGCGAAACAAGAAAGGCGAAACCCCATTGGACCTTGCTGCAATGTATGGAAGATTGCCAACGGTGAGTCGATTCTGCTGAAAGCTAGAAATATTGGGATGATATATATTTATATACATATATATATATATATATAGACTAAAATAAACAGACTATTGTGACACAACTCTGAGTTTCATGTGTAAACAATCATCAGGTGTATAAAAGAACACAAGCTAACGGCAAGCAAGATATAACGGTGAAAACGAATAATCGAACACAATCAAACGAAGTTAATTGTGCAGAGTGATAAATCATAACAACTACATTCTAAGATCTTTAAAGAGTACCGAACTTTCAAAATATATTTGGAAATTGAAGGAACAAGGAAAGATACCAACCATTAAATGGAGAATTGTCAAGAGAATAAAAAGCACAGCTAGAAGCAACTTTTGTAAATTATGCCTGACAGAAAAATTTTATATAATTCAATCTTTAGGGGACAATAAAATACTTAATAATAGAACAGAATTTATAAGCCAATGTAGACACCAAAACAAACTTTTGATTAGCAATTTTCGATCTTAGAATGTAGTTGTTATGATTTATCACTCTGCACAATTAACTTCGTTTGATTGTGTTCGATTATTCGTTTTCACCGTTATATCTTGCTTGCCGTTAGCTTGTGTTCTTTTATACACCTGATGATTGTTTACACATGAAACTCAGAGTTGTGTCACAATAGTCTGTTTATTTTAGTCTATCTAATCGCTCCGGTAAGTTGAGCACTCTAGACAGCAATATGATAATTAATAATATATATATATCATAGATTGAAGAAAGTAAAACTACATGGTTTATCTCTACAAGCCTGTTTCGTGAGTAACTCACTCTTCAACATCTCCTGAAGAGTGAGTTACTCACGAAACAGGCTTGTAGAGATAAACCATGTAGTTTTACTTTCTTCAATCTATGATATATCACGCTCTACGTGCTAACGTATTGAGCACTGTGCTACGGAAGTATCAAAAGACAAATTTCTACATATATATATATATATATATATATATTTGGATTTATCCTTGTTTTATGCATAATTTGATCTAAATTTAATCTCCAATTTGTGAAGCCTGCACAAGTTAATTCACAAAATCTAAAAATAAATTACAGGTTCAAGTTTTGATCTTATCGGATAAAAGCCTGGTGAGGGAGCAAACCGAAGCTATAAGTCCGTTGCACGTTGCAGCAAGAAATGGTCACACAGCTGTGATAGAAGCCCTGCTGGATTTTGGAATGTCGGTTAATGTCATGGTAAGTGTTTTTTTCACTTTACTTCTGTCACTAATCCTTCACATAACTGTGATCATCATCAGAAATTCTATTGAGATCATGATGAAGTTATTAAAAGAGACCAAATTACAGAGGTTTGATAAGGCAAAAGCCTGTGTTCATGTGGCCATATCTTAGTCAGTTTTAAACGTGTTGAACTGATTTTGCATTTTTAGAGGTATTACATGATGCTCTTTTAGGTTATGGGATCAAAATTCATAAGTTCTAAAAATAAATTCTTGTGACGTCATCATTTTAGAACTGTATTATATCATGATCGTGCCTGATTGTTATCATGATGATGATAATTATTATGATTGTCTTTATCATCTCCAAAATAAGCTATATAGCCATCTCCTTATTTACGTCATCATGCCATAATGATGTCTTCTTTGTAGTGCAACCCTGGCAGTTCCCTTCACGAAGCTGCACTTTTTGGCAAGGTTGAAGCAGTAAAACTTCTGTTGAAAAGAGGTAATCTCAAGTTTGAAACACTTTTTGTTTTGATTTTTAAAACTGGACATCTTACATATTAACGCATTTATACAAGTATTTTATTTTTTTCTTATGAAGTGAGCTGTGTAGGTTCACAAAAGCAAAGAGTAAAGTTGATATATAACTCAGTAATGGAAGTGTATTCTGTATTCTTAAGTATTTCAATATAGTCTCCTGAAGTTCCTCATCCGTTATAAACTGTACAATTGTATGCAATTTTCTCAAGGTATTGATGTGAACGCAACGAATGATGCTGGAGACACAGTTGTAGATCTATTGGAGGATCTTCCATCTGAAAGATCTCAGGAGATAACCGCCCTAATTTACGGTAAATATTTCTAATCTCAATAACCGAATTGAAAAGAATCTCTTTTTCACCGTGTCTCTCTGTTAATTACCATCTTTAATCTGACATTGTGTAACTACTTCGAAGCAAGCGTGCTTTGTTTTTGACACCAATGTCTAAATAAAGCTTTGGTACAGCGAAGGGGTTTAATACCACGGAAAAGTGGAAGTAAAGCACGCTAAATATCTGTTATTTCGAAGCAAAGTGTTGGTAAAATCAATCAATGTGACCTTTATCCTCTCCTCTTACTCTCGATCTCCATGTAGATATTGATTTACATCGCCTTTTTGGTCATTATCCAAAGTTTTGTTTCCTAAAGAGTGTTGAATGAAAGTGTTTAGTATGCTGGGCTTCTGCTTTCTTGCTCTATTTGTACACTCATGTCGAGGTTGTTGCAGTGCCACTGTCAGAAAAGAAGCTCAATTTTTGTAATGAAAGCCAATTATTTCTCTATTTAGAACAAAGCCAGCTGATGATGAACTCTGTTCAGCAGGTATGAAACTTTTTATCAGACTTTCTGCTTGAAAGATTGTTTCTAAACATTGTTGAATCAATTACGATGGCATTGATACCTAACCTTTCTCTTGTTTCCTAGACATCTGCTATTGCTGCCTCCCTCTATCCCTGTATATTTTACGGCGCCAAGTAAAAGTAAATGCCAATTAAAAAGATTGCTAGGTGGTTCAACCCTATGCTCTTTTATGTTTAGTAAATTGCCTCAATTCTTTTCCAGCGATCAAAATCGATGAGTATCACTTCCCAAAGCTCAAATGGTGCGTATTTTTAAAATAATATTTAGTGGTTCATAGTGGAGATCTCTCTGTTGTGTGCAATTGTTGTAACTGCTCCAAACATACATTATTATACTCTATTCAATTATTTAACGTACTTCAAAAGACTGGCTTTAAAAAATTGCTGTATCTATGATTTTAAAGGCTTGGAGGTTCAGTATTGCCATGTAAACCCCACTTGCCATGAACCCGACTTGTACAAAATTTATTTTAGAGAGAAGCCAGGATACTGTGTTTCTTTTGATACACCGTTAACTTCGAATAGAACGTTATTTCATCATTGATCAGGAGTGTTTAGCAGTCAATAGAAAGAGTTAACAGAATGAAGAAGATTGAGAGCAGTCATGCCCTGTAAGCTAATCTGCATCGCTTAAAACTGTTCTTCGGCAGTCAACGCTACCGCTTTTACAATCCTCGCCTTTGAACTTCAGTCATATAATTACGAACACGAATGCCCTGTGCTTTTTAATGGTTTATATCGTATAGATGAAAAACCAATTAAAATTATAATTTCATACTTATAAAGCGAGGAAGAAGCGAAGCGTTTATATTCTGAAGCCAGGAATCGCATGATCTGCTGACAGCGCATGTATTAAGGAGACTACCGCTGGCGTTAATTGCAGCAATGCCATGTAATGGATGATCAACTTTGACGTATGTATGGTTTTTAAACCACAACAAAAACTAATTTTCTTTCAATTTGTTTGTAGGAACTGTACCAGGAGCGGTATGTACCAGAATGACTTTTATTCTATGATTCTATATTTATCCTTTTTTTTCTTTTTATCTTCCTCCTCTTCTTCTACAATCATACTATCAAAATATTTATACAATCATACTACCTTTCGTTTCTTCGTGCAATAAAGAAGAAGTATAATATTATATAATATAACATGTTTCTGCATTAGATGTTTTATTACATACTATATTATGTTGTCTTATTTTACATTATGGTATTGTTTAACACTGTAGTAATATTTTAAATTATCTTTTTTTAATAAACTGTATTTCCTTTTCTAGAGTTTATTCGAATTTTCTCGAGTTATCTTTATTTTTTCGTAATGAAATTTCCTGTTTTCATGACTGCCATAAAGTCCTCGATGACGTATAGGCAGATAGATTTATGTGTTACTTGTACTGTTATGTGTATAAAGATTTCTTTTTCTTGCTCTTGTAGCCCAGGGATTGGACAAATGGTAGGAATTTTGCAATTAAAACCATATATATATCGTGTATGCTTATTTGACTTCATTTTCATTCATGTTTACATCTACCATTGTTTTCTAATGTCAGTTTGTTATTCTTGATAATCTCCTTGAATTTTCCATTAAGGTCTTTCCCTTAAGTTTCAAGTCAAATTTATTGCCATTTTACGCTCCTAGCAGTTTTCCCGATAAAAAGTCTTTTCCAATGCATATTTTGTCAATAAAATGCCTGCTTATCGCTTTATCCTTCTTCACAGAGCATAACTCACAGTTTGCTGGCGCACGTGCGGCCTCAGTCTCACAAAAACGCACCGACTCTCCATACTCTGTGGTTCAAGTTCCGCGCATTAGCCGGATTGAACCGAGTTTCGCTCAGGCTTCAATAAGCCCTCTACCCCCGGATGCTGCTGGACAGGAGGAGGTTTTCAACGATTCTTTCCTTCGAGAAATGAAGGCTGCCTCGCCAACCGTACCGGAGGTGCCTGAACGAATGAGCACGCTTGAATCAAGGAAGCCAGTCGTTCGCAATGTTTATGAAATGACCGAACCACCGGATGGTGAAAACACTTCAGAAGACGCACTTTATGATGTCCCTCCCCCGCGACCCAAGGGTGATTCGGTTTTGTCCCAGGATTCCGATCCATCTTTTCCTCCACCCTCAACAGACGAAGCAATTAAAACTATGCGAAAGTATGCTGAGGCCCAAGAGAGGCTTCAGGAAACTCCCTCAAAATCGCAAAATAGAGAAACAGCTCAGGGCACCCGGGGGACTAGTCAGAAAGGTAGCAACAGGAATGAACAAAAGAACATTAGTGATTTTGCAAAGTTGCATGTTAAAATGTCACCCCCTCCTCAAAACAATGATGTATACCATAATGTGAATATTTCGAATCGACCGTTGCAAAATTCAAACCCGTCGGAAGATCTGATATCTTGGGATGTAGGGAAACCTGCTCCGGAACAACGACCCACGTCGCAGTTTTCACCAGTTAAACAAAAGAGAACGGGAACTTCAGTAAAAGACAAATCGAGAGATGGAAGTAGGCCGGCAAGCACATTAAATGAATCGTATGAATGGAGCAAGGTAATAGTGCTAAAATGTTGACCAGAAACCGAACAATTATTAGTGAGAATAACATACAACATGCGCAGGATAATTGATCAAGTATTTGCTCAGTGGAAAATGTTAATTTTGTTCCTTATTTAATTTCTGGTGCAACAATTTTGAAGTAGCTGAGATGTAATATTTGATAGTTTCTATATATATATTTTCTATTTCAAAAGCCAAATTTTGTAGGCCTCCTAATTTTCATGTAGCCCTTTTCTTTTTTTTTCAACTTCTACGCCAACAACGTCTTTTCTCTTCTGCAGATTGACAAAATATTTTCCTCGTTTGAAGATCTTATTCAGTGCGATATCAACCTGGACGATGACATTGAAAGTGAGTAGCCTGCCTGACCTGCCTTATATTCAATACTATTTTTACGTTCAGTTTTCTTGTGACTGGTTCCATGGTTACAGCCTCAAAACAATGTAGCTTCGTGTTGATACAACCGGCCAAGCCAAGCCAACCTATTCTCGTCATTCGTCGATAAGTGGTCCGCCAATGCCACTCTTTTATAACTCTATAAGTTTCATAGTTTACGAATAACGTGAGATAAAAACTAAACTTTACAAACATTTATTTTTCATGTTCAACTGTAGATGCAAGAGAATAGGAGTGACCTGCGCTACAGACAATACTAGCTTAGCGTTTTCAATGCTCAGGATTTTACATGTCTTTTATTAATTGCTTTTACCAGACATAATTGATGAATTGGATGAGAAGATAAATATACATTTGACCGGCGCAGGGTTCATAGTTATCGTTCATAGGGCATTTGAATTTGATTGTGACATATCCCAGGTTTATTTCTTTTTTCGAGCCTTCTGAATTAGTTGAATAAATAAGTTGCATTCTCAATGCATTTAATCTCCTTCGCAGCGCAACAGCCGGATTCGATAGCCGATTGGCTTACGATTCTTGGCCTTTCCTACTACGAGGCGTCATTTCTCGCCAATGGATATGATGATATCGCATTTATAGTACGTATTGATAATAAAATGATTATAGTACGTGTTAATGATGAAACGAACTCTGTTCACGTACAGTATATGAGCATCGAACACCGACAAATGAATTGCTACTTTATCCAGTCTTAGCTGCTTGTCATCAAATTTTTTCGTTTACGTCAGCCATTGTCAATTGCCTTGTTTAACTCAAGAGCAGGTGGACGATGCTGGTTTAACAGTTTATGAATAAGGATTGAATAACGTGTGTAGGCACCCCGTCCTGTTTTTCATGTGGAGTTTCAAGGGAGAAACATACCCATTGCTATTCCAAGGAGTGACCCAATCCCCAGAAACAATCATTGTCTGTATATTTGCAACCCAACTACTTTGTTTCGATGCTTTGTGACATGTATGGACATGCAATCTTACAAATTCATTTTCTTGTTAGTTTCTTTTGAACCCTGGAAGATGTACATACATTGCTATTTCTTCTTACACGTGCTGAATGCGTTAAATAAGCATTTTAAATTTACAGTTTTACTAACTAACAGAATCTTGGAAATGCATCGTTTGCTAGCGACTTTTTCTCTCTACTTTTTGAACGTGCATTGCTAACAACCCCATTTATATTCAGAAACACTGTTTATACCATTCTCTTCTTCCAGGGGGGTGATATGCTCGATGAAGATGATCTGCGAGAAATCGGCATTCAAAATTCTGAACACGTCAGGTATTTTATTTTAATTAAAATTTGCGTCTATTGTTAAGACTATAGCGTTTTCAATCTCTTAGCACGGCTGGCAGCACATAGTTCATAAAAGTTTTTATCCTTCCTTTGCGTCCTTCAGTACCCTAGAACTTTGAAGCCTACCTAAAAATTTGTTTTTCTCTAGAACTTAGAACTTCATCCTAGTAAACAGAAATGAAACTTGTTTCTCTGGTAGTATCATTTAAACCAAAAAGCACTTATCCCCAATCTTTATCTTCTTCGATACCGCTGCCATATCCATCAACCCTTTTTCTGTGTTTGCATTTCTTCAACCAAGCCCCCAACCAAGTACTTTTCACCAGCCCCCCCCCCCCTGTGTACATATAAGAGTGCTACTTTTGTGTATTCAATGAATAATGCTTTTTTCATTGATGTTCAATGTCAAAGCAAGTTATTTTGACTATCGTTTCAGGAAAATCTTGGTTTCCGCATCAAAACTGCCCAATCCTCCCCAAATTGGGGATCCTGATTTTCCCATTCCAGAGGCAGTCTCGGAATGGTTAAAGCGAATCAGTTTGCAAGATTATGAGACTCGTTTCAAAATGAATGGATATGAAAACATGGACCGCGTGCGCGCCATTTGGGAGTTCGAGCTAACCACGGTAAGCAAAAAATTACAAATTGTACCTTATTTGTATAGCTTATACAGTATTTCGATCTTCAGCTGTTTTACGCAATGAATATGCATGCTCATGAATATGGACGCTAAGGGACTTTCGTGATGTCTTTACCTTACTTCACAATCTACCGCTACTTGCGCAGTGAGTGTAATGGTTTTTCAGATTTCCTTAGTTTCCCATTGTTAACAGTACAAACAAACCCACTTCCCAGTTTATTTTACATTAGAATTAGAAGGTTTTTTCACCGATATAATTAAAGGTTAGCCTCACAAAATATAGAGTTGTATGTCAGCTAAAATTACTCTCGCTCCTACAGAAACCTTCAGAAATTTTATTGCCCAGAAGCCTTTGATTGTTTTTCATTTTACTACTTGCTTTTAAAGTTGCCATTCTTCCAGCATTTGAATGATGTAATGATGTATTTTTAAACCAGGTGATTGGAATACATTTGACCGGTCATCGAAAGCGAATTATATATTCCCTAGGCCGGCGACCAGAACAAGAAAGAGAAAAAGTTTCATGGGTAATTACTTCTTCCAACTTTTCATATTTATTATACATTAATGTAAATGGTTATCATCTTGTTTGTGTTATCGCCCAAGCACAATATCAGATTTAAATAGAGCAAAAAGACTTCGAAAGAGCAGAAAACCAAATTCCGAAATTTTTATCCAAAATACGATAATTTGTCTAGTATAAATAGTATATATTATTCTCCATAAACTAATTAATCTGCAATTAACCTCATATGCTTTTTCATTCAACCAGAATTCCAGATTTTCCCTAGGATACCGCTTTAAACTTTCAGCATACATCTTTTAATGCATTCTGCTTGTAAATAACAAATTCGGTGTCTTCATTCTCTTTTAGTCACAAAGATTTGCCGATGCGGAGGCTCCTAAGTCAAAACAGCAATCTTCTGGTGATGACGCAGTCGATCTTGCCAACCAGCTACTTAGGGCGGCAGAAGATATGGCCCAGGACTTTGTAAGTCTTATTAACATAGATCGTGAAGTTGACCAGTCTTGTTTAATGCTACCATTTTTGAGTCTATATTAATTCACCCAGGTTCTGAAAGTTTTTCCGCTTTTACTCTTCTATAAGCTTTGCTTGTGAAATTCTTCCACCAAATATAGATTTATATAAATTTTGTACATGACAATATTTTAGTGTCTTGATTTTTTGGATGGTACCACCCAAGCCCTGTGTCATGAAATGTTCCTATCACGGTTACAGTATTCAAGGTTTTTGGGATCACGTTGTTCCCCTCATTTGTCTTGTCTGCCTTCCCCTTTTCGATTCGAGCTTTAAGAATGCACAGAGCAGCCAAAGTATTGTCCTTTTTCTTATGCTAGCACATTTGAATGATGAATTTGCGTCAGATAACAAAGCCGTGTTGATTGTCGCTTCAGGATCTTGTTTTTTTCACCTTGAATCAGCTCACTTCAAGAGAACAGTTATCCACTGTTGCTTGATCGTTTATAGGGCAACAGGAAGGGTAAACAAGAGACAAAAGACGCCCCTCCTCCACAATCGCCAACACCGAAGTCTCCGACAAGTCCCAGAATACTAAAATATCAACCATCCTTTAATTGGATCCATAAACCCGAGGATTTGCTTTATTCGACTGTCATGTACGACACCCAGGTAACATTTTTGCCACCAGTTTTGAATTTTTAAAATTATTTCCAAAAAGTAACATACTTCCAATGAAAATAATATAAGAGGACAATTATTGAGTATCATACAGATCACTGGTAAAAAGTAATCCACATTTATGTGGAATGTATTGTGAAAGACATTATGCTTTGTATGGCAAAATAATATGGGACTTGTGGTAAAAATGTGAAACACAAAAGTATCTAGTTATTGTTATTAAAAGTGTGCACAGGAAACTGGTATAAGTGGAAGTAAAGCTAGCTGAGAACGCCCTTTTCCTAATATATACACTGGTTTTGTTTACACGTGTTTTACAGCAATAACTTGAAGTGTTTTCTCCCTCATTTACACTATTGGCTATAGATTATTGTCCATTCTCACCCCCTTATGAAATATTTCTTTCCGATTCCTTTTTGTTTGCTAGATGTTTTCAATCCCTTTTTCTTACAGTACTTGGGATCACACCCTGTTATGGTAGTTAGAGGCACGCAGTCCACAGTTGATGCATGTAAGAAAATGAAGGTATGGTCTTTCATTTGATCTAATCCCACCTGCAAATGTGCTCTATCATCTGGGGCGATTTCTGTCTTAAAAATACTGATACTCTATCAAATCTGTGAGTCGTTTGATGCCTGTTTGCGACCCACTGAACAGAAAGATTTGTCATGGCAATTTTGGAGATGTAGGAAATCTTTTTTGCTTTCAATCTCATATTTGGAGATATTTGAGCATGTGATAATCATTTAATAAAACTTATTTTTGCATTGAAAAATTTATAAATCTTATATTTGTAAAGTTTGAGTCTGAACTATGTCAAATAGGAATATGGCTTTCTAGGGGTATTTTTGTTTACAGATCATGCGATTATATATAATCAAACGCTGGTCGATTTGTTGTATCGTGATTAAAGCTGTCTAATCACGAACGCGATTAATATCGTGATTGATATCGTGATTAATATCGCATATTTATCGTGATTAAACTGTCTAAAAGCAAACAAATCCTTTGATTGAATTATAAATTTGCTTTTTTTTAGTCAACAAGCAAGATGCTACAGAAGATACCAACTATAAAGTTGTCAATGTCTGTGAGAGGAATCGATTTTATTGACGCACAAAGCCAGGTTAGTAAACCTGTATTATGATAAATAAAAAGTTATTGTGGGGAGTCGTAATGTAACGAGATTTTCATTTACTTTGTATAGCTTACTGCTTGCCTGGAGTTTTCAGATTGTGAAGTTGGTAATCTTATATTATAATACTCTGGTGCCAGTAACAAAAAGTTGATCTCTTCTACTACTTGCTCATTTCTTCTAATCATTTTTACTTGTGACGTGCTTTTAATGGAAACCAGCTTCAAATATTTTAGGTGTAATGTGTAATTACACCGACCCCGCACCTTCTCATGATGATATCTCTTGATCGTATTATTTTTCATATTTAGCTCACAACATGCAAATTAAACTCCTATTTTGATTCTATTCTTTTTGCAGTCAACAATCAGTTCATATGATATCCGTTACATCTCATACTGCGCACAGGATCCAGATGATCTCTCAATATTTGCCTACATCACTAAAGATGCCAAAACAGGAAAGCACTATTGCCATGTGTTCAAGGGATACACTGCAGTATGTGTCATTGTCTCATATCTTCAATTTAATCTTCCCATAAAGCCAAAAGTATTTTTCACTTATATCTAGTAACACATTTTCAAAATGCTGAAAGGACATGTAAACCTGTATATGTGAGGAGAAAATCTCTAGAATTTTATGATATTTAAACTTTTCTTGTAGTTTTTTAAGAATATTGTCTTATCTTGTCTTGTCTTGTCGTGTCTTGTCTTGTCGTGTCTTGTCTTGTCTTGTCTTGTCTTGTCTTGTCTTGTCTTGTCTTGTCTTGTTTTGTCTTGTCTTGTCTTGTCTTGTCTTGTCTTGTCTTGTCTTGTCTTGTCTTGTCTTGTCTTGTCTTGTCTTGTCTTGTCTTGTCTTGTCTTGTCTTGTCTTGTCTTGTCTTTATTAGACGCTTCTACTTTTGTCTTGCAGGCGCTGTCTGATGAAATTGTCCTCACTATAGGACAAGCCTTTGAGGTTTTAATTTTATTCTTTAATCGTGTTTCCGTGACTATTTACCCTGTATATTGGCCTTTCCTTTTCCAATATGACTTTGCCAAAACAATTTATGATCTCTATGTTATAACACCGTTTATCTGGAACTCATCTTCGCCCAAATAACATTTGGTCGGTCAATGTCAATGCTTTCGGTTAGGAGCGAATCGTCTTGCTTTGGGATTATTTTGGCTGAGAAAATTTCTACAAAATTTTATGCAGCAATCATGTTAGCATTTAACAATTTTTAAAGTATAATTTTTGTATTGTTAAGATGATTATATATCATGTTTTCTTTTCTTAGCTCGCATATCATCAGCACCGAGTTTTGATTGAACAAGCAAAAACAAGTAAACAAGGAGAAGATGATAAGAATTTTCATGAAGCCAAGGTGTGCTCTATTTGCAGAGTTTCAACGTGCTTTAAAATCTTTTCAGCGATTTTCACAACTATGTATTCTTCCAAAATCATACCTTAAGGTGACGTGTTATTGTTCTTTCGTTCCTGTAAGCATGCTTGTATGGAACAACATTGCTATACTGGTTTCTCTATATTTCAGAATGATTTGAGTTCTGCTGCGACCAAGGAAGGTAGGGTTTTCTTTTTATAGTACTGTTTTCTGTCATTATCCTCTCGAGAGGGTTTTACACAAGCATGAAGGATTTGATCAGCAATTACTTACTAAGTTCCCACCTTTAGGCAGGAACTTTTAGGGTAGCTGTTCAAATTAGTCAGTTGTTTTATACTCAAAGTTAGAGAACAAATTATTAGACATTCCTGTTGCAGTTTTTGTTTGTTGTTCGCCAATTTCCTCTACGTAAACAAGGGTTTTTCTTTTTCCAGAGCGAATTCCACCTCCAAAGCCAAAGCCATACAGCGGGAGAATGCTAACCGTAGGCCAAATATTGAGTTTTTTTCTGTTGAATTTCTTAAATGCTATAAATGCAAACGCCTTAAAATTTGCCATCTGAAAATTTCTAAAACAGTTTTTGTTTTGAATCAACAACCAGTATCAGTCGTCTTTTGATGAACTATCTTTCACAGGAACCTTCAGGACAGCGATGATATTGGTAGAAGGCAGTGTAAGTACATTTGCATCTTACTTACTGTGTGTTTCTTCCATTCATCGAGCATTGCTATATTAATTGAAATAGTAATTATTTCTTATATTGTCGCATGTTACTGTTAGCTGCTATCCCCTATCAACCAACAGCGCACGTGAACAATATGCTCTACGACGCATTTATAAATAAAAGTCCCTGACAACTATTCAAGCGGTTCCGAATGTTAATTCATAGCAGCTTCAAGGTCACAAACCTGTTTAAGAAACAACCAATCACTCACTGTAGTTCACTTTTGCAAAAAGGAGTATTTGGATATTGTCCTTCACTTGCTGTAGATTTGCAGTAACTATCACAGTTATTTATCATTAGATTATTTATTTACCTTATGTTCACTTTCCGTTTTTATAATAAGCTGTTTTTCTTAGATTCCAGTGAGAAAGCTCCGTTTAATCTGGAAATGGTGTTTACGTCCGATTCCAAACGACAAATTTTGTAAGAAGTGACGGTTAACGTGACAAGTTACACACATCCGGTATGGGTTAATTCGTTATAATTCGTACGTGGATTTATGCTATCGTTATTATTGGAAAATAAATCATCTAGTAATAAGTGTGCAATGAAAACTTTTAGTGACGAATTTCGCAGCTGAATAATGATTGTTGAAACTTCCATTACCCAGTACCAAGGTCTGAAGGGAGGAGCACGTCCTCGCAGGGTACTGTGCAGTTCCAAAATGCATGCCTTGGCTGCGATTGCCTCCATTCTGCTCATACCCTTAAAAATTCCAGCAATTCCAAAGTTTAGATCGTTGATACAATGTCTGCTGACACACCAAACATCATATATATTTTCTTCGAACCAAGCGAACCCAAAAGTTACAAAACCAAGCGAACCCAAAAGTCTATAAATATCGGGCAAAATTGAATTATTCCAGACAGTTATGTCCTCGGATACAGCCCAATTTCCATGCAAATTCAATGGATTTTGCGATTGTCTTCAGAAAACCCGAATGCCAGGATTTGTGACCTATTATTTGCTTGCTCTGCCCATTGATTGTTCTATTTAGAAATTTATAATGGAGATGTATTTTGAATAAATACCATAAGAAATATATTGTATGTATATGATATGTTTCAACAATTTTTTTATAATATGGATTTTCCTCTAAATAATGCTAGTTTTAGTCGTATTTGATAATTCATACAGTTTTTTCGAAATCAATTCATATAAAATTGAGGTTCACGTACCATTTCTATTGCGAATTTCTGATCAAATAGTGGTATCGTTTACTAATAACATATTATAGCCTTTTTCGCCGCGATATGCAATGTTTTCTCTTTAGACCAGACATCAATTTCACTTAATCATATCTTCTCGTCACTGTCACGAATTCAATTGTTATTTTCTTCGTGACTGACTAGTCATATCCATTCTATATTCTTGCTTTCTCGTCCTTGTCTCACATTATCTCAGCTGCCATTATAAACTAGCCTTGTTGTATCATATTATCGCTTCATTCTAAATTGTTTTTAACATGGCATTTGCTTATGATTTCCTCCATTCATTGATTTCCGCCCTTCCTCAACTTTCGAAGTTTTGCATGTGATTAAAAGGCCTTTTTGTTTTCCGAAATTCTTTGCTTCAAAATTAAATCAAGTCTACCAGCAAATAAAGAAATGCTTCTTGATGCATTATAAGTGATTCATATTATTCTTTCCTGCCAAATTTGTCAAAAAGGTTCGAAGATGTTAAGATTCAAATTATCTTGCTTTGTAATCAAAACAGCCATAAATGATTCAATAAGATTTCAGAAATAATGTTAGGTCAATTTCTCACGAATTATTAATTCTATATAATTGTTAAGATGTCCCAAGTTGGTCTATATTTTGCCAATACATTTCCTTTAGCTAAGGCATGGTGGAAAGAAATACCCTTGAAAGCTTAGCCAAAACACTTGCACAAATTGCAAAAAGAATCTACCAAATTTTCTTGCTTAAAACACATTCAAGAAAAAATCCATTTTTAGATCATGAAACTACCTGCCACAGGCTCTAGAATTGATTTAATTGTTTTTGTGGCTTACTAAAAGTATATTTAACCAAGTTTTGGATGAAAAATTGTTTGGTCCAAAATGAACATTTGGTAAGCCTATAGCCTTACTTTTTTACTAAAATCCTTATAAAAAAAAGCAGATTTTTAGAGCATAAAATAACCTGCCATAGAGTCGAGAGTTAAGTTTAATGTTTTTATGGCTTATTTAGAGTATATTTAACCAAATTTTGGATGAAAAAATTTTCGGTCAAAAATCGGATATTTTGGTAAGGTTATAGCCTTGCCTTTTTCACGAAAATCCTTCTCTAAGAAAACTGCTATTTTAGAGCGGAAAACAACCTAAAATAGAGTCATGAGTGGATTTAAACGAATTTATGGCTTATTTAGAGAATATTTAGCCAAGTTTTGGATGAAAAAATTTTCGATCAAAAATCGGATATTTTGGTAAGGTTATAGCCTTGCCTTTTTCACGAAAATCCTTCTCTAAGGAAACTGCTATTTTAGAGCAGAAAGCAACCTAAAATAGAGTCATGAGTAGATTTAAACGAATTTATGGCTTATTTAGATTATATTTAGCCAAGTTTTGGATGAAAAAATTTTCGATCAAAAATCGGATATTTTGGTTAGGTTATAGCCTTGCCTTTTTCACGAAAATCCTTCTCTAAGGAAACTGCTAATTTAGAGCAAAAAACAACCTAAACTAGAGTCATGAGTGGATTTAAACGAATTTATGGCTTATTTAGATTATATTTAGCTAAGTTTTGGATGAAAAAATTTTCGATCAAAAATCGGATATTTTGGTAAGGTTATAGCCTTGCCTTTTTCACGAAAATCCTTCTCTAAGAAAACTGCTATTTTAGAGCAAAAAACAACCTAAAATAGAGTCATGAGTGGATTTAAACGAATTTATGGCTTATTTAGAGTATATTTAGCCAAGTTTTGGATGAAAAAATTTTCGATCAAAAATCGGATATTTTGGTAAGGTTATAGCCTTGCCTTTTTCACGAAAATCCTTCTCTAAGAAAACTGCTATTTTAGAGCGGAAAACAACCTAAAATAGAGTCATGAGTGGATTTAAACGAATTTATGGCTTATTTAGAGTATTTTTAGCCAAGTTTTGGATGAAAAAATTTTCGATCAAAAATCGGATATTTTGGTAAGGTTATAGCCTTGCCTTTTTCACGAAAATCTTTCTCTAAGAAAACTGCTATTTTAGAGCGGAAAACAACCTAAAATAGAGTCATGAGTGGATTTAAACGAATTATGGCTTATTTAGAGTATTTTAGCCAAGTTTTGGATGAAAAAATTTTCGATCAAAAATCGGATATTTTGGTAAGGTTATAGCCTTCCCTTTTTCACGAAAATCCTTCTCTAAGAAAACTGCTATTTTAGAGCGGAAAACAACCTAAAATAGAGTCATGAGTGGATTTAAACGAATTTATGGCTTATTTAGAGTATTTTTAGCCAAGTTTTGGATGAAAAAATTTTCGATCAAAAATCGGATATTTTGGTAAGGTTATAGCCTTGCCTTTTTCACGAAAATCCTTCTCTAAGGAAACTGCTTTTTTAGAGAAAAAAACAACCTAAAATAGAGTCTTGAGTGGATTTAAACGAATTTATGGCTTATTTAGAGTATTTTTAGCCAAGTTTTGGATGAAAAATTTTTCGATCAAAAATCGGATATTTTGGTAAGGTTATAGCCTTGCCTTTTTCACGAAAATCCTTCTCTAAGAAAACTGCTATTTTAGAGCGGAAAACAACCTAAAATAGAGTCATGAGTGGAATTAAACGCATTTATGGCTTATTTAGAGTATATTTAGCCAAGTTTTGGATGAAAAAATTTTCGGTCAAAAATCGGATATTTTGGTAAGGTTATAGCCTTGCCTTTTTCACGAAAATCCTTCTCTAAGAAAACTGCTATTTTAGAGCAAAAAACAACCTAAAATAGATTCATGAGTGGTTTTAAACGAATATATAGCTTCTTTAGAGTATATTTAGCCAAGTTTTGGATGAAAAAATTTTCGGCCCAAAATCGGATATTTTGGTAAGGTTATAGCCTTGCCTTTTTCACGAAAATCCTTCTCTAAGAAAACTGCTATTTTAGAGCGGAAAACAACCTAAAATAGAGTCATGATTGGATTTAAACGAATTGATGTCTTATTTAGAGAATATTTAGCCAAGTTTTGGATGAAAAAATTTTCGATCAAAAATCGGATATTTTGGTAAGGTTATAGCCTTGCCTTTTTCACGAAAATCCTTCTCTAAGAAAACTGCTATTTTAGAGCGGAAAACAACCTAAAATAGAGTCATGAGTGGATTTAAACGAATTTATGGCTTATTTAGAGTATTTTTAGCCAAGTTTTGGATGAAAAAATTTTCGATCAAAAATCGGATATTTTGGTAAGGTTATAGCCTTGCCTTTTTCACGAAAATCTTTCTCTAAGAAAACTGCTATTTTAGAGCGGAAAACAACCTAAAATAGAGTCATGAGTGGATTTAAACGAGTTTATGGCTTATTTAGAGTATTTCTAGCCAAGTTTTGGATGAAAAAATTTTCGATCAAAAATCGGATATTTTGGTAAGGTTATAGCCTTGCCTTTTTCACGAAAATCCTTCTCTAAGAAAACTGCTATTTTAGAGCGGAAAACAACCTAAAATAGAGTCATGAGTGGATTTAAACAAATTTATGGCTTATTTAGAGTATTTTTAGCCAAGTTTTGGATGAAAAAATTTTCGATCAAAAATCGGATATTTTGGTAAGGTTATAGCCTTGCCTTTTTCACGAAAATCCTTCTCTAAGGAAACTGCTTTTTTAGAGAAAAAAACAACCTAAAATAGAGTCTTGAGTGGATTTAAACGAATTTATGGCTTATTTAGAGTATTTTTAGCCAAGTTTTGGATGAAAAATTTTTCGATCAAAAATCGGATATTTTGGTAAGGTTATAGCCTTGCCTTTTTCACGAAAATCCTTCTCTAAGAAAACTGCTATTTTAGAGCGGAAAACAACCTAAAATAGAGTCATGAGTGGAATTAAACGCATTTATGGCTTATTTAGAGTATATTTAGCCAAGTTTTGGATGAAAAAATTTTCAGTCAAAAATCGGATATTTTGGTAAGGTTATAGCCTTGCCTTTTTCACGAAAATCCTTCTCTAAGAAAACTGCTATTTTAGAGCGGAAAACAACCTAAAATAGAGTCATGATTGGATTTAAACGAATTGATGTCTTATTTAGAGTATATTTAGCCAAGTTTTGGATGAAAAAATTTTCGATCAAAAATCGGATATTTTGGTAAGGTTATAGCCTTGCCTTTTTCACGAAAATACTACTCTAAGAAAACTGCTATTTTAGAGCGGAAAACAACCTAAAATAGAGTCATGAGTGGATTTAAACGAATTTATGGCTTATTTAGAGTATATTTAGCCAAGTTTTGGATGAAAAAATTTTCGATCAAAAATCGGATATTTTGGTAAGGTTATAGCCTTGCCTTTTTCACGAAAATCCTTCTTTAAGTAAACTGCTATTTTAGAGCGGAAAACAACCTAAAATAGAGTCATGAGTGGATTTAAACGAATTGATGTCTTATTTAGAGTATATTTAGCCAAGTTTTGGATGAAAAAATTTTTGGTCAAAAATCGGATATTTTAGTAAGGTTATAGCCTTGCCTTTTTCACGAAAATCCTTCTCTAAGAAAACTGCTATTTTAGAGCGGAAAACAACCTAAAATAGAGTCATGAGTGGATTTAAACGAATTTATGGCTTATTTAGAGTATATTTAGCCAAGTTTTGGATGAAAAAATTTTCGATCAAAAATCGGATATTTTGGTTAGGTTATAGCCTTGCCTTTTTCACGAAAATCCTTCTCTAAGAAAACTGCTATTTTGGAGCAAAAAACAACCTGAAATAGAGTCATGAGTGGATTTGAAGGAATTCTTGGATTCTTTAGAGTATATTTAGCCAAATTTTGAATGAAAAAATTTTCGGCCAAAAATCGGATATTTTGGTAAGGTTATAGCCTTGCCTTTTTCACGAAAATCCTTCTCTAAGAAAACTGCTATTTTAGAGCGGAAAACAACCTAAAATAGAGTCATGAGTGGATTTAAACGAATTGATGTCTTATTTAGAGTATATTTAGCCAAGTTTTGGATGAAAAAATTTTCGGTCAAAAATCGGATATTTTGGTAA